TACTTTACCAAACAATGTTATTTTTATTAAACAAACTTTTCAATTAATAAAATAAACTTTTAACTAGCTGAAATTATCAAACACTCAATTTTAATTGCATTTTTTCATAGAAAAATGTTAATAATATAATTTTTAAAAATACTCTTTCACATATTAAGTAATTGATATTTAAAATATTTATTTTGTAAATTAATTAATTTCTTAAAATAAAATATTTTTAAAAAAATGATTAATTAAAAAAATAATACATTAAAGAGTATATTGCTGTTCGCATATTCACCGTAGAGGAAGAAAAAAAAAATTCTATCAACAAGCGAATTCAAATAGATGAAGAGAATTAAAGATGATTAGGGAGTTTTTTTATTGGTTAAAAAGTTAAGGATTCATTTTATTCTTTTATCAAAATTTAGAGAAGTCACATAATGAATATTTGATGTCTCTATTCATTATTAAACAGAAAGTAGGATGAGGGGTCCAATTTTAATATCTAAATAGTCAAAGTTTTAAATTTTAATCAATAAAATTATAGGGATAAAAACTAAAGTATTAAATATAATTCACTTAAAAGATAGATATTAATTTATAGTAAAATGCAATATTTTATTTTAATGAAAAAATTATTAACTATCTATCACTTATATAATATAAAAATATCAATTTACTCCTAATATAACTTTGATAATTCCTACAAAGAATGTTTTCTCTTAGTTATATTATGTTTTGTAATTCAAATAAATTTAGGGAATGGATATACTTAGCTAAAAAAATTTCTTGTAATTCCTTTTAAATAAATTACTTCTTATGAGCACATACGTTTTTAAAAAAAAAATTAAAAAAGGGAAAGAAAACAAAAAAAAAAATCAAAATAAAAATATGAAGAATGATGTAATAAAAAGTGTAAAATTTAGACAAAACTTTTGATAAAAAAAAAATCCATGTGTGTATTTTAGTATAATAATCATGAAGCATGTTTTACCCTAGATTAATGTTTGGAATTGAAATTTAATCATCACTCAAGAATTAATAAAAAATAAAAATAGCAAAATATTTAGTAAATTCATACTGTCTTGGTAACATTGTACAGCATGAAAACTAAATGAACTATGTGACTTATGAGAATTTAGACTAAGATAGTGTACAAAGTGTTTATATTTTAAGAACTTGATAGGCAATAGATAAGGACACATTTGACATGTAGCTCACTTTCTAAACCTTGTGCATCTAGTGTCGAGTGAGCTAAATTGACTTTGTTTTTGAATCATCTTGTTATATAATTAGTGTAACATCTCTATTTTTATTATTTATTAATTTTATTTTGTATGATAATTATTGATACATATTGCTTAAAATTAAGAGAATTTTAGGTATGTAAGTTGTAAGATCTCTCATTGTAGTAAGGATCTTTTCGTTGTAGCGAGGAGATTTCGCTACACTACAACGAGGGAAAATATGTCTAGTTTTTATGTTGCAGCAAGAGAATGACTTACTATAGCGAGAATCTTTCGCTGTAGTGAAAATGTCGCGAGTTGAAGAGTATTTAAGGGTTTTCAAGTTAAAAAATTTGGATTATAATCCAAGTTACAACCCCTCTCTATTTATCCTGACCTCTCTCCTCCTTTTCTTAGAAAATTCTTGGAAAGCTTCAATCTTTCTCTGATCCAAGCTTGGGAGTTCACTCTCCTTGCTATTTGGTAAGATCTTTGAAGCTTGGTTCTCCATTTCCTTGGTTGTTCTCCTTATTTTTCACCTGTAAAAAGGATCTCTTGTGATATTTAGGAAGAACCCAACGTTTTAAGTAAGATCTCTTGCAAACCTTTTACTAAATTTCCATTTCAAGATAAGGAGAACTCTATCTCGTTATTAAGAATGTAGTATATTTGTGTTCATGAAAATGCTGAGATGTAATGCTTGATTGTAAATATATGTTTGATTGAAGTATGTTTTGTGGTGTTTGATGATGTGTATAATTTTTATTTTGAGCATATATGCATGTATGTTATGGACTGAGTCTGGAGGTGACTAACCTTCGACAATGATTGATTGATGTATGATGTAATAATGAACTTGAGCAAAATAGAGAGATGAAAGGATGAATAATATGTTAGTAGAAAAATAAGGAGTTCAGGCTATGATGACTAATGAGAGGAGTAAAGCTATAATGAAAAACATGTAAATAAAATGAAAAATATGAAAAGAGAAATAAAATGAGAAAGGAAAAGTACAAGGACAAGTATGGATAGTTTAGAGATACACTAAGGATTTGTTGAGATTTTTTCTTAAAAATACGTCAAGTATACTGGGTCTATTGCAAGTAAAAACCTTTTAAAGTACCAGGATATCGTTTCCAGAGAGTAATTCAAAATGTATTAATTATTAAAATAAAAATTAATTGAGCTTATATACAATAAAAATGATATAATTTTCATAAAATTTGAGTGATATTTATAATGTAAAATAATGATGTAAAATGTAGTAAAAATCAATTAGAGAAACTAGGATTGAATTTCATCTATCTCCCTCTCTATATTTCAGTAATTTAGTGATAAATATATCAATTATTTATAATGATATTGATGCAAAATACAAAAGTCATATATCTCAATTCCTTGAAAATATATTTCTAAGATAATTTCTTAAATGCTGATCCCTCAAGCAGTTAACGAACTATCTAGCACTATAATCAAGATTTAAAAATAATCGATAACTTGAAATCTATTCCTAAAGTAACCAATTATCGAGTACTAAGTAATATCTTTCCAGATATAATTCAGATCTGGGCTATCAGTTAGAAAGATTCAAGCATTAAACATGGATTGAAATCACCAAATCAATAGAAATGAAGAAGAAACAACTATATTTATATAAATTATTGAGAATACATTAAGTTTGAAGATTTACCTGGACAATAGTAGAATCCACCATTCTGTGTGTGTAGTTATTTACAAAGGTTTGACCAGGCCATAAAATACATGGAACTATGTGTACACTTTTTTGGGTCATGATCAGCATGGGAGACCCAGCCATTGCACTGTCGAGCAGATCGCAGGCCCTGAACTGGTAGCTGATGAAGGTGACCTCAATGAAGACGAAGACATATCTCAAGAAGAGATAAGAAGAGATGGAAGGATGGTTTGGAGATGACGACTAGTATCGTCTTTGATCCTCTAGTAGATAGACTACTCATTAGGACTTATTATATTTTATATTTTGTAAATGATATAGATGAGTTTTAATGTATTTTGATGTCATATTTTACAAATGTCAAACTTTTGTAAATTTATTAGAACAATGTGTATTAATATTATTTCAATGTTTCCTTTTAAATTTGTTTAATTACTATTACTTTGTCATTTAAGTTTTTATAAGTTTAAGTAAAGTAAATGAAATGTTTTATATTTCTACACGTTGTACTCAGTTTGCAAATAAATTTAATTAAATTTTTTCTTCTTAATTCTGAAATTATTTTTTTATTATATTAAACAAAATAAGGATGTTACAATTAGCATACTACTTAATTAATTCACTCTTATCATATTAGTTTCACCTTATTATTTGAAAATAAAAAAAGGTGATTAATTACCAATCACATTAAAATAATATAATTTGTATATGCAGTAACCTTTCTCCTATTCTAAGAGAGTGACAATGTGCAATATTAAAAAAATAAAAGGAGAATCTAAAGCAAGGAGGAGAATAAAGAGAAAAAGAAAATCATTCCACTCTCAAAGTTGAATAGAACAAGGATTCATCTTCTTCTATTATCTTCTCTTCTCCTACTATTTATTTACAATTTTCTTAATCATTAATGTTTCCTTCTTTGTCTAAAATTTTACCACATCTAGTTAAGTTTATGGATTCAAAAATATTTTTTAATTTATCATAAAGTATTACAACAATGTGATAAAATTAGATTCCAAAACAATTATAGAAGAGGTATTACTTAATTTTATTTACTAATTATAATAAATACATCGTGTATTTCGTAACTAGAGGCCTAGGTAGGAAGTGACTAATTAAGGGACGCAATGGTCATTCCCCAAAATTTTAATTTGTTTAATATTGCTATTAAATAAATTTTTGACACTCACAAAAAAATTATTCTTAAAATGGTTTCTTTCTTTTTTCACTTTCTTTGTAATTAAATTATTCAAAATAATAAAATAAACTAGAGTTATTAATAAAATAAATTTAAAGTGATAAATACTGTGTTAATAAATATTACAATTTTTCTATTGAAATTATAAAAAAAATTACACAACAAAATGGATGATGTTTCTTTTACCAATTATATAATTATTTATATTAAAAATGAAATTGCTAAAAATTATCATGAATATGATCAGTAATAATTTTTATTCTATCAAACAACGATAAGTACAATTTAAAAAAAATAAAATAAAATATCGATTTTGTCATATGCAAGATACCATTAGCTACGAATATATTGAAATGCTTTCATAATCTAGTTTTATTTAACAACAACAACAACGTCTCTTGTTTATTCCTAAACCGGTCTTTAGTTTTTCTATAATGACATTATTCAATTTGCATATATTTTTCTCAACTTCGATTATTATAACTAAGAAGCTTAATTATTTACCCGAAGCAAAAAATGCATATTTGCTTGTTTATTATTATTGCATGCGTGCATGCGATCTGGTTTTTCTCTTGACGTACGCAACAAGCTTCATGAGCTGGACACCATGGCCATATCATGTTGATTTGAATTCTCCATTTTCTGAATTCTGAATCACAATCTCACACCGTTTCGCAACCGAGTCACGACTCAGTTCTCCAACATCAATTTCTCCAATTCAAATTATCTCACCCAATTCCACAATATTCAATTAACCTCTTTTTCCTTTTCCTTCTCTTCTCCAATTCGGAATCCACAATCTGAAAATTCGAGGATCGTTTTCCGTTTGAGATCTTAGCGATTGAATCGAAGTAATTAACGTTTCTTTCGGCTCTCGAAATTTCAGCGTCAATGGAGCCGCGGAGGGGGTGGAAGCGAGCGCGTTGGTGAAGGATTTTCGACGTCGATGGGCAACAACTGCGTGGGACCAAACATCGGTGGAAATGGCTTTCTCCAATCCGTCACGGCGGCGGTGTGGAAAACGCGCCCGCCGGAGCCCAGGCTTCCACCGCCAAACGCCGATAACAAAACCGCATCTCCGGCGCCGGAGAATGGCAAAGGTTCAGATGCACGCGCCGATCCTTCCTTGGCGGTTCAGAACACCCCGCCCGAACAGGTTAAAATAACAACCACGGAAACTAAACCGGTTCAGGCGGAGAAACCGGCTAAGCCAGTGGCTAATGACCAGGAACCGACACCTGGCAGTGGTGATGCAGGGAAAGCTAAGAAACCCACTCATGTGAAAAGAGTTTCAAGCATGGGACTTCAAGTAGATTCTGTGTTGGGTAGAAAAACAGAGAACATGAAGGAGTTTTATAGCTTAGGGAGGAAGCTAGGGCAAGGGCAATTTGGGACAACGTTTCTTTGTGTGCAGAAAGGGAGTAACAAGGAGTTTGCATGCAAATCCATTGCTAAGAGGAAATTGACAACACAAGAGGATGTTGAGGATATTAGGAGAGAGATTAGGATCATGCATCACATGGCTGGTCACCCGAATGTGATACAAATTGTGGGTGCTTTTGAGGATGCTGTTGCAGTGCATCTTGTTATGGAGTTATGTGCTGGGGGTGAGCTTTTTGATAGGATTATACAAAGGGGTCATTACACTGAGAGAAAAGCTGCTGAACTTGCAAGATTGATAGTTAGTGTTGTTGAGGCTTGCCATTCTTTAGGTGTCATGCATAGGGACTTGAAGCCTGAGAATTTTCTCTTCGTTAATCATGAGGAGGAATCAGCCATTAAGACAATAGATTTTGGACTCTCCGTGTTCTTTAGACCAGGTATATCCTCTTTTATTTTGTGTTAAAAATCATAATTTGAAGCATGTTTGAGTAAATAGCTTAATAAAATATATACTTTTTGATAAGAGTTTATTACATATGAAGAAACTTACATAAATAAGATAAAAGAAAGGGTATAAGTAGGTCACAAGCTACTTTTCTATGTTCAAATAAGCTTTGTGGAATTTCTTAAAAATTCCCACTTAATGGTTTGATTATGATAAGTGCTGGGAGAGACATTATGCTTATGATCTAGGAAAGTTATAATTTCACACACCATTTATGGGTGGAGGGGTGAAAGAGATAGAAAGAAAAGAAAAAAAGAGGACAGAGAAAATAAGAGATGGGATCTATGATGTAATTGAAGAGAAAGAGAGAGATAGATAGAAATAAAAGGAGGATGGAGAATGGATGTAAAAATGGATCAAAGAGTTGTATGATCTATTTGTTGTTTAACTGTGTGCTTCTATCCTACCCACATAATTGCAATTGCAAAAATAATAAAACAAATGGCATTGATCTAAGTTACATTGCTAGTTTTACAAATGAGAAAATTTGTTGCAGTCACATATACTTTCATTCTTTATTTTCTATTTACTTTGATGATCTATTGCTCTTGACTTCTATCCACGGCTGAAGTTGAAAATTGGATTATTTTCTGTTTACATAGTTAATTGCTAATTTATATTTATTTGAAATTATTAATATGTTTTGTCTCGGCGCCTTTGTATCACAACTCAAGAGTAAAGACATGACACAGGCAATGTTCCTTGATCATTGGTTCTCATGAGCATTTTTCGCTTGATGTTTTAACATTTGTCAAATCAAGCAAGAATTTTAATGTTTCAACTTCCACAATTTTCCACCGGATCTCAATCCAATAATTTGTCTATAGACATGATTTATAAGAAACATTGTAGCATTGTATAATTCATATAGTTGACTCCATCTAGGGGGAAAAGGCTTGGTTATTGTTGTATCCCAATTCAATATAACTTAGCTACTTTTACTATTACTTTTCTTTCCAATATTAATATTTTGAATGAAGTAGTTCTTCATGAGAGTTGCTTCTTAGTTGATGAGTACATTTTAGCTGGCTAATTTCAGGTCATTAATTTTCTTTTCTTCCATTAAATTGCCTAGAAGGAAAAGCCAATTTCAAATTTTGTTTAGATGTGGTAGGATGACTACTCCACAGATGCATAGATATGCATTTTATCACCTCAACAGGTTGTTTACTTGGAAGTTAAAGAATCATACAAGTGAGCAGCAACAAAAAGGAATTATACTTGTAAAAGAAGAATATATATTATAATAACTGTGGAAGTGGAACAATGCTTTTGTTTTAGAATTCTACAGTGGTGAAAGAAAGTGGATGATTGGTTAACCGTATTAGCTAAATATTGAATATGCATGAAAGTGTTTAGTAGGGGTTGCAGGCTGAGTACATCTTGTTACCCAATATCAAAGTTATGTTCTCTTGACTTACTAGGGTTCTTCCATTTTGTTTAACTGTGTTCAACACTTTTTCTTTTCCTATTTTTTTAGGATTTAGATTGTTCAATTTCAGACTGATAAAATACTCATTACTGCAGGTGAAACATTTACTGATGTGGTTGGGAGCCCATATTATGTGGCTCCTGAAGTTTTACGGAAGCAATATGGACCAGAATGTGATGTTTGGAGTGCTGGGGTGATCATTTATATTTTACTTAGTGGAGTTCCCCCATTTTGGGATGGTGAGAATGCTGTGCCACTTGATTTTGTAATTTCAACTCCTTTGCAATATTAGTCGTGTTTGTGTTGTGCAATGTACTCATAATTGTTTGACGTGTTTGGTGACCGGATCAGAGACGGAACAGGGAATATTTGAGCAAGTTTTGAAAGGAGAACTTGACTTTGTTTCTGAACCTTGGCCTAGCATATCTGAAGGTGCAAAGGATCTTGTTCGAAGAATGCTTGTAAGGGACCCTAAGAAGCGATTGACAGCACATGAAGTTCTTTGTGAGTATGCATGTTTGATGGATGCTTCATGGTTTGATCTGAAATGCACAACCTGTGTTGTTGAATTAAACAATTTTGAATTAAATTACACACAATAAAATAATAGAATTATTAGAACAAAAATTAGGAATTGAGACAAGAATAAAAATAATAAAAACAAACATAAAATAGAGACGGTGAATGGCGCTGTAAAGATAAACATCATGATCTATTAATTCATCTTTGTTATTTTACTTAATTGACTACGTAATCATGATACTTATCTGATTATTTTTAATATTAATTATAACTTACTTCCTTTTTCAAAATTGAATTAGTCTTCATTTTTTTAATATACAACTACATTAAGCTAAGCTCAATGATGTTCAGGCCACCCATGGGTTCAGGTTGGCGGTGTTGCTCCTGACAAACCACTTGATTCTGCTGTCCTGTCTCGTTTGAAGCAATTCTCTGCAATGAATAAGCTCAAAAAAATAGCCATTCGAGTGAGTGTTTGCCAGTTATTTGATATTACAACTATATTTCGTGTAACAGTTTTAGTGTCTTACACTTGCAGTTGACAACCTTTTATATAATCTTTATGTTCTGATACGGTTCCCTCCTTTAGTCTCTGAAATTAGTTTTCTTGGAGCACATATTACACAATTACAGGTTTACAGGTTCACATTTTATTGCTAAAATATAATTTTCCTTATATGGTTGACCAGATTATAATGTCTAAAAATTGAGAAAACTTGATTTAATTGATTGAAGCTTAGTCCTTTGAAGAATAAAAAAGAAATGATGCTGCTATTGTTGATTATGTTGAAAAGTTCGCCAATGGGAGACAATTGTTCTATTCAAGAAAATTTGTATTATGCGGTATATGACTTGCTGTATCATCCCTTGGCAGGTAATTGCTGAAAGTTTGTCTGAGGAGGAAATTGCAGGACTGAAAGAAATGTTCAGAATGATAGACACAGATAATAGTGGACATATTACTCTTGAGGAACTGAAAAATGGTTTGGAAAGAGTTGGTTCTGTTCTTAAGGATTCTGAAATTGATTGGTTAATGCAAGCAGTAAGTGTTTGCTTACTATTTAAATTGGCAATTCTATGTAAGCATGCTTCTTGTACAAAAGAATTTGTGATTGATTATGGTTTGATTCATTTGAATATAATTTGAAAGACATTGGTAGATATTAGTATTTATAAGAAACCGTTTATACGTCAAAATGAATGACTGGATGTAACCCATTTTAGAAAAACAAGAGAAATCCTAGAAACACTCTTTTTAATACTCTCTTCAACACATTTCATGTGATTGGTCTATTTTTCAAAAAATCAAAGCACTTGCCTGATAAATTGGTCGCATTTTAAAAGTTTTTTTGACTTTTTAAAAAATTGATCAATCACAAAAAGTGTGTTGAAGAATGTATTCAAAAGAGTGAATTGCTAGCATTATTCAAACAACAATACCCTAAACCAGAACTGGGCTTGAAGACTTGAACTATTTATGCACTATTCTGTTCCACCAAATGATTGATTTTATTCTGTTTTTCATCTGATCAATTATTTTGCTTTTATTATTGTTTATAATTCAGGCAGACGTTGATAACAGTGGTACCATAGACTATGGTGAATTTATAGCAGCTATGATCCATCTAAACAAGGTCCAGAAGGAGGATCATCTATATGCAGCATTCTCCTACTTTGACAAAGATGGGAGTGGATACATTACACGGGATGAGCTCCAACAAGCCTGTGAACAGTTTGGCCTAAAAGATAATCAACTAGATGACATAATAAGTGATATTGATAAAGATAATGTAATATACTGCATTCTAGTTGTTTACTTTGTTTCCTTTCACATCCCCTAACAAATATGGACAACACATATTTTAGTTTTCTTTATTTGACTTGTGTTTTGCACTATTTTTAGGATGGGCGCATTGATTACAGTGAGTTTGCTGCGATGATGCAAGACACTGGTTTTGGCAAAAAGGGGCTTTCAATAGCATGAGTTGAATTATGGATGTCTTCAAGCATTAATGAATTCTTGATTTACCCAAATGAGGACTGGATAGATAGTCTTTCAGCTAGCATCTTCTCTTCCAGTGCCGGATTATGTAAGTACATGCACTTAGAAATTGTCTGAGCTTTAGGGAGAAGAAGCTTGAATGGCTTGCTAATTATAGTGTTTTTGTATTTACAAATCATTCTTTTGTTGAATATATAACCTAGTGCAATAGATCACAGTTTTTTCCAATGAAACCCTTTCTTTTGGGGGTAAATGGATGGTCGAACAATCTCAGCATGTGATCTAATGGTGTTAAGGAGTCTTGGTTCGCCCTCTACATCAAATTCAGGACAAATTTCCAAAAGCAACGTTGAAGGACATGCATTTATGCGATATGAATGCTCGCAGCTGTGCAAGTCTTGTGTCTTTAGTGCCTTGCCATGCCATGCCATGTGTCAGTTAGTCTCAAACCATGTCGAATATCATGTTGTATCAATTCATGTACCTTGTTCACACTCATGTACTATAAACTATAAAGTCAAGTTATCTGTACCTGGTGGTTAACGATGTTTCCGTTTCAGTGTATACAAACGATCAGTAATTTTCTTTTGTAACTTTCTATTTTTTGCTAATGACACGATCAATGAGTTTGATGAGATGCAATATCTTTTAACCTCAAAATTTGCTGTACCTACCTTCATTTTGTTCCACTTGGTTTAGCTAATAACTTTCTCAACTCATCAAGAAGCACGATCATCTAAATTACTAGAGTTGGCTGAAGCAGACTTTGTTGGAGGATCAAAGAAAAGGACAAAAAAAAAAAGTTGAATTCTTGGATGCTTTTGCGTTAGGATGGATATTGGTAGCCGATAGGAATGAGAAAAAAAAAATCAGTTATGCAAGTTTAATCTATAATTAATGTTAAATTGATTTTAAAAAATTAGATTAATATTGAACTAGTTTTTTATTAATTATATTTATATAACCAGTTTAGTATTTTAAATTTAGATTTTTTTTTCATCTAAATTTATATTATGTGTGAAAATACTATGTTATGTTTTGACTGGTTAAACCTTTGCGATATATTAATTCATAATTATATTTTACAAATAATTTTTTTATTAATTTTATTTTTTATAATCAATATTAAATATTTAAAATAATATTTTAAAAATCTAATTATTATATAAAAAATATAAAAATACAACAAATGTTTTAAAATTAATTACTATTATTATTTTATATTTAATTTTTTAAAATATTATAACAATATTTTTATTATTATTTAATTTTTTTTTAAGTTTTAATTTAAAATTTCATTATGAACTCTATTTGTTAAAAATAAGTCAAAGATAATAATAAATATTTTATAAAAGCTTCTACAAAATATAATATAATTAATAAATATTATTAAAACATTTTTAAAATACACTAATTTAATGCAATGATACAGTACAACAAATTAATTTTACTTTAAAAATTAAATATCTCTTACCATTGCTGAGAGTATAGAAAATCTAAGAATTTTGTTTCTATCGTACAAGTATTTAAAATTTATCATTCACATCTAAATACTCTTTAGTTAAGTACTTGTCCAACTCATTTTTGTTATCATGCAAAACAAAAAAAATCAGATAAAAGAAGAGTAAACTCAAAACTAAAAATTAGAAAGATCAACAAAAATAATCTAAAAATAAAATCTTAAAAGAGTAGTATAACTTACCCGTTGTTTGACTTACCAATACAAATCACTAGGTTTCCCAATAGAAAATTGACAAAACTCTCAATGAAGAGGTCAATGAAAGAGCAACCAAACAATGAAGATATGTTTAGAATTTTCTATATATCGAAAAATTCAATAACAAAGAATGGTGTTGAGATCAACAAATGAGAAAAGAAAAAAAAGATGGGTATGGATAAAAAGAGATTGAGAAAAAATAAAATAAAAAATAGAGAAAAAGATTAAGATAGCTGAGAGAGAAGTGGAGAGGGCTAAGAAGGAATGCGATCGCTTGGTAAGATGGTGGGTGTAGTAGAATGAGTGAAAGAAGGATTAGGAAGGGAGACATGTTGATAGAGAGGACCAGAGGGAAGTCGTGACACTTCACACAAAGCCACAAATAATATAAAAAATGTGAGATTAGAGTACACTTTGATGTTAAATTATTTTATTTTAATTGGTTAGGTTCAAGTCATATTGGTTTTTATTGTTTACACCTGAACCTAACCACCTAAATCCAAATAAACTTATTAACTTTTATTAAAAACAAAAAAAAAACCAGAGCCATTTCTAACCTACCCAATTTATCTAATGAAGCTCAAAGTCCACTAGTTGTTGTTGGGTCTAGCTTTTTAGCCTAGTCCTACCTTTTAGAGTACACTTTGATGATTTCTAACTCTATTCTTTACAATTCAAAGTCTTTAATGAGAGATAGTACTTTTATACCTTTGATTCAATCATCTCCTTCATATTTAAATTTGAGATAATTCCATATGACTTTGACTAATTTTAGAGACATGATTCGAGTGAATACTATTGATGAAACTGTTGCAAAAAGGCATGCCTTTACCTTAAGATTTTATGTCCTTGTGATTCTTAATTTAAATCAGTGTTGGATTGCTGGGTAGTGCAGAAACTTTATAGTTTTCTTCAATTGCTTCCCATAGATCTGAAGCTTCTACATAAGCTTTCATTTGTATTGCTCAAACTTGATAACTTTTATCATTGAAGATTAGCAATGCTATTGCTGAGAAACTTTAATCTCCTTCCATATTGACATTATGGTGTTGAAGTGTGGTGTTTTGTAGCACTCACCGCACTTGAAAACATGCTATTTTTTTCAATTTTGAGATTTCTTGCCCACAAAAAAGCCACAACCCCTTCACCTTAAGTGGTGGTTCTACTCCAATCCTAAGCATCTTTTCAAATGTATACTTGCAGGCCAAATCCATTAGCTAAAGAAATTACCAAAGATTATATCTCTCAGGATCATACATGTCCCACGGTAGTCATAATAACACCACCTTTGATTATAAACTGTTTGAAGTTGGTTTTAGTATTTAAATAAAGTCTTTTCCAATTATCTAGTATCATCATACTTAGAGGGAGAAGATTAAGGGGATTTTTGGGTTTGGCTTTGTGTGCCTCTTTGTGAGAAAAATTAATGTCTAACAAGTATAAAAGTAAGAAATTAATGTGACATTTTTAATATTTCAAAGACTAAAATACACAACACTAACTATGTTAAGGACAAAAACTGAGAGTTTAGTCCATTTATTTTATTATCCTTACATATATTAAATATAAAATGAAATAAGAATTTATCATTCTTTTATCATATTCTATTTTTATTCATCTATCTATCATATATTTTTTATATTAAGGTTAACTAATTTTGAACTTTCAAAAATATCATTTGTTTCTTAAGAATTTTTTTTCTCTTTCTATTAGTCTACCTTAAAAAAACAAAAAATATACCTCAAATGCAAGAACGTGAAAAGAAAAATCACCTTATTTATTTATCTATTACACAAGCTTACAAAAATTACTTATTAATTAAGATAGACATGACATAAACTACTAATAATAATAATTAATTTTTAAATTTATAAAATATTACATGTGATAAAAAAATTATATATAATATTTTTAATTAAAATTTAAAGATTTAATGTAATTTTATCCATTGATATTATTAACAATTAAGATTTATTGATATAAGGTGTCAAATTTATATATTTATATTATTTAATAACTTATTATAAAATGTAATATTAATTAAATAAAATGTAATATTATTTTATATTATTTTTATAGTTATATATATTAAATTTTATATATTTAAATTTTTTGTAAGTACGTTATTTAAATTTTAATATTTATTTATTTTATTTTTAAACTAATTATTGAATTAATTAAACTTATAATTATTTAAAAAGTTATTAGATAATGTACATTAAATATATAGCATCAATAAATCATAATTTTATTATTAAACGTAAAAATTTTAGTCAAAATATATTATATCTAACTTTTCATCATTATTAGTATTGTGCAAATTATAAATATCCATTAAATATTGTTAAAATTTAATAAGAACTAACGTAAAAATTGAGTTAAGACAATTTTTTATGAAATTAATTTTTTATTAAAATAAATAAATGATTCATATACAAATTATCATCATCATATTATTAAATTAATTATTATAATTTATTAAATAAAATATACATTTGCATTAACATGAACATAAATATTAAATTTTAATAATTTTATATTAAAATTATTTAATATATTATATAATATCCATTTTGTTAATTATTTTCAGTTAACCAGATAAATGGTAAATTTAGTGTCTTGTCTTGTTCAGTTCATTGACGCGTGCGGTGCAGTTTTCGAAACATTGTAAGATATAGCTTGGGTCTTCAAACGAAAAACTAAAGCTCTATGGCATCGTCTTCTTCCACCGTTTAGTTAGGGTTCGTTCGCGAAATCGAAGCTCCTTGAATTGATTGATAGCAGATTTGGGGTATGGCAAAAGCAAGGGACAGAACTGAAGATTTCAAAGATGCCGTGTGCCATAGTGCTCGCTCTTTGGGCTACGACGAGGTTTCACATGGATTGAAATATTAGTTAAAATAATTTAATTTGACCCCGAGTTATTTAGCCCATAATATATATGAGGCCATGGTAGGGTTACTCATGGATTGGCACTGACCCAGAAAATACTCCCAAATTTTGTTCAGCCAACCTTAATCCCAATTCTTTATAACATTCTCAATTATTTACGAAATTACACTTTCTTTGCCTCTATACTTTCCTTCTTCTCTCGTTGGAATTGGCTTTGAATTCGATTGTTGTTCCACATTCATATTTGCTACACCTTTCGCTCTTAATCCCTCCACCTTTAATCTTCTTCCTCCTCGTCAACCACCCAGGTTTCAATTTCTTTCTTTACTTTTTTGTTTACTTAAACATTTTTTTGTTCAAAGCGTGTTCTTATCCTGAAGAATATTAAAGTTCTCTTCTTTATGACATTAACAAATAGCAATGCATGAAAAGAAAAGGTGGGAGTTTTAAGTTTTGCACAAAATTAAGGAAAGGTAAAAAAATATCTCAGACTGTTAGTAATGTTTTAGCACCGGAGCTATTTTAATCTTTGTAATTATTTGTGAAAATATGAAATGGAAATAAAAAAATAATATTTTCTCAAACTAAACCATGTATTGTCCTTAACCAAATGTGTTGTTGATTTGGGGAGTGATTATTATCACTCTTAAGTGTCTATAGCCACTCTTATTTAAATATTTTTTAAGATAAAATACACGTTATTAATATAGTATTGTGATTTGTTTGTTTGTTCCTCAATAGTGGTAGATCTCTGACCTTACGATCTTTATTGAGAATGTTACTTTGTTAGTTGAAAAATATTTTAGAAAAGAGTTATATTTTTACTCTCACTCTTTGCTCAAAAGAGTAGCGGTACATGATACAATTGTGCGTTTTATGTCTTTTTGAATGCTATTAATGAGAAAGTTAGCATGGTATTAATTGGATACTCAAATCAGCATAATTTGTTAGCTATTAGCTGAGATTACAAAAATACTACTTTTCTTCAGTGCCGCTGGATTTCTCTGTTTCCACCTAGTGAAGCTCATGGCTTGACATAAACATGCTATTCAACTACATAACTTCCTTACATCAACCTGCGCTGTGCATAATTGGTTATGATCTTCTATACTAATATGTTTCGATCTTTTGCTTTTTGGTTGACACCAAATGATTGTTTAAATTTTTGTTGGATTCCTCTATTTTCCTCCCATCCATGCTTTTGTGGTTTTGGCAATCAAGAAATATTTACTGCAAACATGACTTATTAGTCCAAAGCTTCTTGAAATTACTGTGATGTGATGTTTTTTATTATAAGAGTTGGTTTTTATTTGAGTAACTACTTTATGTACTCATCCCACTTTGTTATCATCTTTTCTCTATTATGGTTTACAAAATTTGGATTGAATTATTCGGTATCTACATAGTATACATGTTTATTGGTATGAATTTTGAAAAGTTTGTTAACATGTTAGGAGACATGATGGCTCTAATTCACCAGCTCCTCACTCAATTCTTTGCAATTCAAAGTCTTTAATGAGATATAGTACTTTTATACCTTTGATTCAATCATCTCCTTTATAGTTAGATTTGAGATAATTTCATATGACTTTGACTAATTTTAGAGACATGATTCGAGTGAATACTATTGATGAAACTGTTGCAAAGAGGCATGCCTTTACCTGTCCTTGTGATTCTTGATTTAAACCACTGTTGGATTGTTGGGTAGTGCAGGAACTTCGTAGTTTTCTTCAACTATTTCCCATAGATCCAAAGTGATGTGATCCTTGAAGCTTCCTTCAAGAATGACCAAAGGCAGATCGTCCAAGAGATGTTTCAGCCATGGTTTTGAGCAAATGTATGGAGAGTTTCATGAATCCAGCACCAAATAAGAAGGAAAAAAATAAGTGGAAAGTAAGGAAATGGAATTATAATGCAGCACGCCACTCCAAAAGATTGGAGATAAGCACCAATACACTCACCACATGGAAGAATCCATGATATGAGTATGGTTCTGAATTTTTCAATGAGAAAATTCAGAGAAAACTCACTCACTCAAGAGGAGACTATGCTAAAAAATGCATCAAATGAATCAAAATCTGAAAATTACAAAGGAGCTTAGCCTATATATAGACAAGCTAACTCAAGGCCCAAAATAGTTTCTAATGGGCCTTAAAATAAGGAAAAGAAAGGGGATGGGGATTTGGGCTGAATACATGCCCTAAAACATGGCCTAATACAAGTCCAAAGAAAAATACAAAAGACTCCACTCCAAAGCCCAATGGGCTTCCTAGGACCATGGCCAAAATACAAGACCCAAAACAAACTATTCTACGGATGAACAATGCAAAAAAGAGAAAATACATGTGATCCCAAGCCTTATGCACTTTGGGCCTCAAGATAAGAGAGGTTAAGGCCAATTGGGCCTTCTTGGCCCTTGCCCTAGTCATGGGACCATGGAAGAGCTCTAAGCTCTGTGTCTCTGTGGGATTCTCTGGCTGGATCACATCACAAAGCTTCTACATAAGCTTTCATTCGTTTGCCCAAACTTGATAACTTTTATCATTGAAGATTAGCAATGCTATTGCTGAAAAACTTTAATCTCCTTTCATGTTGACATTATGGTGTTGAAGTGTGGTGTTTTGTAGCACTCACCTCACTTGAAAACATGCTATTTTTTTCTCTCTCAAGATTCCTCAAGAATAAAGCTTTTGATACTATTTTTAGCTTAGCCCCACCTTTTAAAGTACACTTTGATGATATTTAACTCCATTCTTTGCAATTCAAAGTCTTTAATGAGATATAGTACTTTTTTACCTTTGATTCAATCATCTCCTTCATATTTAAATTTGAGATAATTCCATATGACTTTGACTAATTTTAGAGACATGATTTGAGTGAATACCATTGATGAAACTATTGCAAAAAGGCATGCCTTTACCTTAAGATTTTTTTGTCCTTATGATTCTTGTTTTAAACCACTGTTGGATTGTTGGCTAGTGCAAGAACTTCGTAGTTTTCTTCAACTGCTTCCCATAGATCCAAAGCTTCTACATAAGCTTTCATTCGTATTGCCTAAACTTGATAACTTTTATCGTTGAAGATTAGCAATGCTATTGCTGAGAAACTTTAATCTCCTTCAATGTTGACATTATGGTGTTGAAGTGTGGTATTTCGTAGCACTTACCTCACTTGAAAACATGCTATTTCTTTTTTCTCTCAAGATTCCTCAAGAATAAAGCTTTTGATACTAATTTATTAATTTTAAGGCAGAAAATAAAAGTAGACAAGTACGTTAGCATATTAAAGAGTAAGAAATATAATTCTATTAATTGGCAACAATACAATAGATAATTCAAAAATAGAGAAAAATTACATAACTTTTATGACAAATATGGATAACGAAAAAGTATAAGAATCACTAATTAACTGAAATGTTTATCTAATAAATAAAAACAGTAAAATAAATTAACGTACAGTTATAAACAAACATTGTTTAATATTATTCAATGATATATTTTTTAATTTTTTTCTTAGTACTTTGCACTATCTAAATTTGATTGTGTTTTTAATTTATATATTTGTCTATACATTTAAGGAAAATGAGTCTTTTATACTTTTTTAAATTATGGTCAACTTTATTCAAATAAGTATATTTTGGCAACCTTTCACAGAGAAGTTAGGGATCTTCATATATATGGAAGGAGACTTGTTTATCTAAATTGAAAAGCCATTGTAATGATGCCACGACGTTAACCGGGTATATACATATTAGCAACATATTGGGAGTTCAGATTGTCTAGTATTACTAATTAATTCTATACTACCCATCCCATTCTCATTTATTGTTATTTCAGATGCAGAAGAAATTGACATATGTATTTACATAGTTTTAAGGCCACTATTCTTGTCAAAGAAAGATGAATAAAATGTTGTTGCCTTTTCATATTGGGTAGGATAAACAAGGATGGTCAACAACAAGCTGCTGATAATGCACTTTGCAGCTTAGCAAGTAAACACTTTGTTTGAGCCAAGTACAAAAATGTTGGAGACTTGGAGTTGGCTTTCTCTTCTCCATTCAATCATTTTCATATGATTCACTTAGAATTTCACATGTTAATAATCATGCTCCTTAGCAGCAATATTGGATAATTGATGTCATGCTAGAAAATGGATACAAATCAATTCTAAAATTGAAAACTAAGCCTACAATATCTATCAAGCAACAGTGGTGTGTAGTCATATAATCATAATTTGCTTCATGATAAAATGGAGCATAAACAGAACATTTATTCATATAATTTGCATTATCATACATAGTAACAGATTTCTAATTCTTATATACAGAAGGAAAGCTTAACCTTTTTTATCCTGCATAAGTTGACATAAAAAAGTTTAGTTAGATTCGAGATTTTTACTATCCAGGTGCAATTAGTCATAAAACTATGTATGTAAAGTACCAGTTACAGGCATGTGAAGGGTTTATATAACAGGAACAAGGATTTGCATTGTGTCCTTAACAAATTATTTGAAACTACTAAACACCTTATAAATAAATTATTTTTTATTTTTTTTTATAAAGCTTATGAGGAAGTGTTTAATCACTTTCTTAGTTTATATAAATATTTTAACAGCCAAGATTGATAGTTGTAATTTTTTTTAATATTTTAAAGATTAAAAAGTATTTATATTTTTTAAATAAATAACTAATTTTATTATTTATTCATATAAAATTAATGATAATAATTATAAAATATCTTCTTATAAATCAAGGCACAGTTTTCACCCAAGTTTTACTCTTCAACACTAAGGGCATAAGCGTGCCCTAGAATTCATTCGCAAACACTTCGAGGGTAACACGTCGTAAGAATTCATTCATATGGTTCGATCTGAATGTTAAGGCGGTAAAGTCAAGTTTTCTCTTTCCAGAGATGTGTGTGGCTTGGGATTTTGGTTAGTCCATTGGTTAGTGCAGATCCATTGTTGTTTCGACTTTGTTCTATTCAATTTGCTAGTTTCTGAGTGTTATAGGAATTGTGCACAACTAGTTTACATTTTTTTTTTCTCTCTGTGAATATCTTTGTATAATGTTTGTTTCCTGGCTAAAGTCATGTCTCTGTTCTGTTCATAACTTCAGATTTTATAATTTTTTGTTTGTTAGAAAGCCAACACATAAAACTTTTAAGTCATAAATTTTCTATGTGATTTTCTTTTCAACATATAGAATAAACTATTACTTATAAGCACAGAAAATTGAAAAAAAGAAAGAAAGAAAATTGGCCATGTCAAAAATTTCAGTTTCTCTATACAATATATAAATTTAACCATAAATATTTTTCAGTGTATTTGCCCCCTCTTCTGATGAGTAATGATGCTGCGAAGACATGTTCAAACTATTGGTAATGTTCTAGAGAGAGTTGTGCAAGTTCATGTTGCGCAGCTCAGAGGTGTAAATACACATGTCCGTGTTTGGTATTCTACTGTGTTCACTTGCAATGAGCTGCCAAGAAAGCTCAACAAGTCTGAGAGAAAACCACCGGTGACAAGTTTTAATGAACTTAAGCGTGAAGCTAGACTGAAGAAAAAGGAGAGACAAAAAGTGCATGAGATTACATTACAACCTCCTGAAAATGGCTTGTTGGTTGAGCAACTAATTCCTATTGCTCATGAAGTTTATGCTGCCAGATGTGAACTATTATCTAGTGTTTCAAGACTTGTCAACTACACTGCTATTTATACATGCAGGTAACACCACAACTTCTGTAATGTTCATTATGGTTGGTTATTATAGCTTCTATTCTAGTATGATATATGAGTTCCAATTGGAAGTCTTTTTTTCCTGTTTTATATCTGGTGATTTTGTAACTGACCTGGGCCTTACAAGGTCTAAGCCTGGACTAGTTTAGGGCTAGTTCCCAAATTATAGGCTTGAGCTTGACTTGTTTACTTGATATGCCTTGTTTTAAGGCTTGACTTATCCTTTTTAAAATTCATTTGGCTCCAGAGCTTTTAGAAGTGTACTTTATGGTAAGATCTATTAGATGAGGTTACAGACACACCTTTGAATAGGCTAGTGAGCCTATACTTTGATGTTGGCCAGTGAGTTTAAGTCTTTAAATAGACTGAAAAATATAGTCTCAAAATATAATAGTAAAATTTAATTCAACAAAAACAACAATATCATTATATTATTTATATTTATTTTTTAACTAAATTGACTTATTTAGCAATAGGCCTAGCTTGGCATAGGGCGAATGTGTCCTAAATTCTAAGCCCTCAACAAGTGACCTAACCTATTTCAATCCCTATATTTTTGTAAATGACTTGTACCTTTAACTTGTCGTCTAAGTGATATAATTAGAATTTTCAATGTATATTGGGTTTAGGGGATTTGTTAATATGAACAGGATGTATTCTAAATGAATGTAAACATGTCTCATCATCTGGGACTTTTTTAATATGCATTTTTTGTTTGAACTGTTGGATGCTTTGCAGCTTATGTGGAGAAGTACATGTTGGTCATCCACCACATAAAATTAGAACATGTAATGTTAGAGGCAGCCCATCTAGCAAAGAACATATTTGGGTCAAAGGTGGTGTTGAACATGTTTTGCCACTTGTAGAGTCATTTCATCTGTATGATAGAATAGGGAGGGCTGTTTCACATACTGAAATGCTTGAAGTGGACCGAATTCCAGCAATTGTTGAATTGTGTGTCCAGGCAGGTTTTGACATGGCTGAGTACCCTACCAGGAGAAGGGCCTTCCCTGTTTACTGTGTGGCTGGTAGAATATTTGATTTTGAGAAAAGATTTCCGAAGGGATTTTCTCTTGGCAAAGATATAGATGCTCATGGGTTTTGGCATAAGAAAAAGAGATTGGATGAAGATACACATTCTATTGTGATGCATTCTGATGATATCCAAGGTTCATGAAGACAAATGCTTTTTTCTTCTCTTTCCCTTTCTCTCAGACACGCAGTCCTTTGTCAACTATGTTTACTATGTGCATGGTTCTTTGTAGGTATTGCAGTTCAAGGCATGACAGCCTGGGAGAAAATGCGCACAGGAGCTTCAAAACTTATGGAGAAGTATGCTGTCCAAACTTGTGGATATTGTCCAGAAGTACAAGTGGGACCTAAAGGTCATAGAGCACGGAACTGTAAAGCTTACAAACACCAGATGAGGGATGGGCAACATGCATGGCAGGAGGCTACAATTAATGATTTGGTACCTCCTGTATATGTCTATCACGTTCGAGAGCAGCAACTTGGGAAGCCTTTGGTAAATGAGTTGAAAAGGTACTATGGTATGCTGCCTGCAGTGGTTGAGCTATTTGCCAAGGCTGGGGCACCAGTTGAGAAGAATTATGAGTGTACGATGAGGGAAGATATTGTAATCCCTGAAATGGATGAGGAAAAGTGGGTTGTATAAAGCAATCAGTTGGCGACTTGTGTGCGTGGAGGAACCATTTAGGCACTGGAAGAGTCTAAATATGAAAAATTAAGGTGTTTCTTTCAAATAATAACTTGTCTTCGCTAGAAAAGATATAGTAAGTGTCCAGTGTGGGTAATTATTGATCTTGTTCTCTGCCAGCAACACAAGGTTGCAGTCTTGATTATATGGAACACAACTGCTTTTGGCACCCTCTGCAGGTAAAGGACTTAGATTTCTTGCTTGGATTCCTTCAAGAACGGTTCTTCATCTCTCTACCATTCTCATTTGTAACTTTATTTAGTTTTTTAGTTCATTATGCTTTATGTGATATAGTGATATTTTGTAGTATAATTTCCTTCTACTAAAACCACAGAAAACCTTAGTCCATAGGATTAATTTAGTATTTTCTGCTATACAAGAGGCATAGATATAGATGATGATGCACTGGCTGAGGAGGAAAAAGATTCTTGCCAAGTATATTACAAGGAGGAAGAAAATAGAAAAAAGGAACCAAAGATTTAATTTAACAATAAATTAGTTCCTCGGTTCCCACTCCATCAGATTTGTAGAACAGGTATATCCTCTAGTTTTTTTAAATATTGTCTTCTTATTTCCTTGAATATGCCTTGGTAACACTGAGTGGATGATTGCTGTACATTTGTTTCTGAACTGCTTTCCCTGAAATTGCTGTCACACTATTGAAATACCACATCCATCGAGAAAGGAACTCAATACTAAAAATGACTCAATCCGTTTAAACAAACAGAACCACCAACCAAACCCAAGGTTATTTGCTTGAGTGGCTTCTTGTTGAAATGAGTCAGTGAATTAATTTCAAGTGTGGTTGGTGGGTGTCCCTAATGTCATAGGAACATATTTGTTGGTAAAAAGTAGTTTTAATTGATTGAAGAGCAATTTATTTGCTTCAATCATTAATCAAAGAATTCTTTTAAATTTTTAATCAAGTACCCTAAATACAAACTATGGATGTGCTATGTTGTTTCAACATTATGATTATGAAGTATCTGGTATTCAGATTGTAATCAGAACAGTCTGCACCACTTGATGCTCTGTTTCAATTTCATATACTAGGCATATACCTCAACAATGAATATATTCTGCTTTATTCATATTATCCTCTTCAACTTTCATAGTCAACTACAATTTTTAATATGGGGCCTTCTGGTTTTAAGGTTCCTATTCTTTTATTCGTTAATATTATGCCTTTTTTTGGGACTTTATATGTTTGCTTAAGATCTGGGGGGCGGATGAGAATCCTCCACAAAATAGCAAGTCTTGGCAATTTATGCTACCAACTTCTGTTTACAATAAAGCGCATTATATCAATCTTGTCTTCAGTTGGAGCATCTTCTGTTAGAAAACATCTTCCTTTTTATGCAACTTTGGCACCCACTGACTTGTGGTGTAGCCAAATGTTTTTCTTTTCTACTATTGAAGTATATGAAATTTAACAAGAAGCCTGAAAATTCTTGATATATGAATCAAGATCATGCGAATTTAGGTTAATTTGATTCTGGATTTATGCTTTTTCTTGCTAGGTTGTGGCTAGGTTCTGCTGTGTTCCACACCCTCCTTTAACCAGTGTATCAGTTTATTCTAGACTTCACAGAGCAGTTGGGTGGCTATAAATGAAGCTATGTTGCTGGTGCTTAATTAAACCACTTGTATCGTCTTCATAGATCTTACAGTTTAGTAATAGAATATATTTTGCAATTAGTCTTGTAAGCACTAATGCATGCTGATGCTGTCTCAAAAAGGAGGAGAAATGTAATATTATCCTGAAGTAAGAAATTCCTTACTCAAAGGAAGAATCTTCACCTTTCATTTTTCTCTTCCATTTTAATTCTTAAGCGAGGGTTATGATGATCCACATGGAAGAAGAAATATCTTCCGACTAAAGTGAAGAGGAAACATCGTCTTTTACTTGATGCTGATCATACTCTTTTTTCTCCTGTTGTGGTCTTTTTTTTTTTTTTTTACTATACCCCAAAGCTTGTAAAAGAAAAATCATTTGGAACACATATTTGTTCAAGGATGATTAGTTATATTTGCAAATTTTATCTAGTTCAATTTATGTTTGTTTGTGACGATAAATAATTAATCTAAACCGAAATTACAACCTGGGCCAATCACAAAGCAGCTGTTTAAAGCCTCAGAACAAAAAACAAACTGCAATAAAAGTCTAAATAAAAGGTAAGACATAATCAAAGTCCTTTGTCATAAGGATGCATAACTTGGAACTTTCACACCTAATAACAGTATCTAACTTTCCACAAAAGTCAATGCACTAGTTCTAGCATGTAACAAAATGACTTTGTTAGTTATCAAGAAGGAATGTCTGTACCCCTCTCACAGCAGAATATTTTAGTTAAGGTTTGAAATTTATTGCTCTTATTTGATAAAATTGTTTTTATTTTGTATTTACATAATAAATATAAATTTTGTGTATTCACATTATTAATTATAAATAGGATGGTCATGTAACAGAAGCATCTAACTTATAAGTATCTTTGCTTAATAATATTCTTTGATTATTTGTTTATTTTGATTTTTCTTTTTCTTATATTTTCTAAACTTGCGAATATTTTCATTAATTTTTATTCCAAAACAATGTTTTCATATAAAAATTCATTTACTTTCATTAATTTTTGTCCGAAAACAATGTTCTCATATTAAATTTCATTACTTTCTCGGTTATAATAACTTTGCAACTCCCTATTTTATTACATTATCAGTTGCTGTATACTAGTAGTCTTGAAGTCTTTATAAAACAAAAGAAAATTAAGTCAAAATTTTATAGATTAGTTACCTGGTTGGCACACATCGTTCTTGTAAATATTTCATTATTAAATACTTTGTATTCAATTTTATCGACCAGTCATATAACATTGTATCTTCAAAATCTCTGAAGTAACCGGGGTGGACTTTTGGTACTCAATCATGTACAACCCAATTAAAACGGGACAAAATATTCAACTTCAACTCATCTAACCTTTTGACCAACTAACCTTGGCGAATGGGCTATATCTGAATAAAAATCTACAAATGTATGAGGAAGACTGTTAATTTATTTTCATTTTTCCTGATGATTAGCATAGATAAAAGATAAATTTTTAAAGCTACGTGCTTGTGTTAATTTTAAAAGTAGTACAAGTAGCTTGTTAATTTATTAACAAGATATGGAAACCTATGCACAGCAAAGTTGTAATTGCATAGGCAAATGAAAATGCTCATTAAGGATGTGTTTAGTAAAATTAACAGATAAACTAGCTAGAAGTTGAAAAATGATAAGCTTTCTGAGTTAATTATTAAACTATCTAACAAATTTAAAAAGACAACATAGAAGAACGTAAGAGAAGAAATTATGATAAGATAGTGAAATAAAAAATAATCTAAACTTATAAGCTTAAATGTTACAAGCTAGAAAAATATACTTCTTCATTAAATAGGTTGAATTTTATCATATATTTTAAATTAATCAAATAAGAAAAGTTGAAAGCTTTTATTTGCACACTCTAAGTTGATCACACTAAACGAACTTAAATCCCAACCTAACAAACAATGGGTACATAACCCTGCCATGGTCACATACATACACAATGCGGTTCTCAACCTATCATTAATTAAGGCATTTGATTTCTTAAGACGAGGGTGCATTTTAAAGTATAAAATGTGGTTATAGTCGTTAACTAAAAATTTAATAGTTAAAATTGTGATAAAAAAAACATATTAATATGTATGATAAATCATGCACTATAATCTTACGTTGATTTAACTTCATGTTATAACTCAAAATCAAAAGACTGGACACTATAAACAAGTATATAAAGTTTAGTTAGATAGTGTCATTTTTCTTGGCTTAATAAATATTTTTGTAATGCAAGGTAGCCTAAATATTCAAATATCCCTTTCGCGATAAAGTCTGAAACCGTCGTTGTCCTCCATACTTCAAGAATTATAGACAGAAGAATTATGATTACTTCATTTATTCTCTTTAATATATATATATATATATATATATAAAAGGAGTGTAATAAATATAAGTCCAACTAATAGAAGAAAATAATCCTAATAAAAGTGGTCAAATACTTTGATATTCTAAAGGGTGTATATTCCATTTTTCCATAGTTGTTGAGATTAGTTTAAACTTTTACAAATCCTCATGTCATGTATGGGGCTTGTGGGTAGAGAAGAAAAAAAGAAGAGAAATTGAAATGAATAAAAAAAGGTGATGATATTAATAAGGGGTTCCACGTGGAAGCAAAATGGGAAAATTGGAGGCATGTGTGAGCGAATTTGCATTATTTTAATAAAATGGGTTGGGTTGTTGAAGCATATTCATCCTTGGCCGTACACGTGGCAACAGCATGACGCTTCAGTATATTATCACTCTCACAAAGGACCTTTTTATCGGTCGCTGTCGTGTCGTTCTTATACGCTCACTTTCCCTCCCACTTAGGGCACCGCCCCTTTCTCGAAGAGTGTGTCTTCTCTCTTTTAGAATTTAAATAATAATTTTAAAAAATAAATTAAGTTTTTAATCTCTTTAAATTTTATAACTTTTAATTTGATCCTTTTGAATGTTATAAACTTTTCATTTTATTCTTATAAATGTTATATATATTTTTTATTTTATCTTCTTAAAATAAAAGACTAAATATAAATTTCATGATAAGGAAATTAAACAAAAATTAAATAGAAAAATTATTTATAACAAAACATTTCTTTGGGAATTCATTTAAAAAATTAAAAATAAGGACAGAAACTAAATTAAGCTTTTAAAGTGATAAGATTTTATTAAAACATATTTATTATGATTTTATATTTTTAATTAAATTTAACTATTTTAAATATTCAAATTTATTTATTAATAAAATTTTGAGCATGATAAAAATAGGAAAAAAAAGTATGCTGAAAAAAAGGGAAAAATATAGAGAGGAAATACCCCACTCCTTGCTTAGTTTTATATAATAAAAACATTCTTTTATTTTTTTCGTTTCACATTTAAAAGAATAAGACTATACATAAATAAATGAAAATATACATATGTGTACAATAGATAATTTTATTCTATCTTTTTCTTTAATTTTACCCTAAGATGAGCACGATGAAAAATGGTAAAGTTTATGTAAATGCCAATTTTTTAAAATCAATTCATTTCTATCTATAGATGCATGATGAATAAGAGATCGATGAACATAGTCCTTAAATGTTCTTCCTTTATTTTTTACACATATACTTCATACCAAACAAAATTTTCAAATTCGAATTTTGTAATATGTAATTTGAATTTAATTGTGAGATTTATATGTATGAAAAAATATTACTATATTCATAGAGGTTAATCTCGTATTTATCAAAATGAAAGATCCTCTAAAATAACAGTAATTTATAACAATTATGACATATTAAAAATAAAAATAAATATAACTACTGATTAACTATATATACAACAGGTACATCTGAAGAACCTGGAGAAATAATTGTACTTCTGACACTAAAGAGATTAATAGCCATAACTATTATGAGGTACTATGCAAATATCAACACTGATTATATCAGCATTAGTATTTTATTACCAATACTAATGAATAATGAAATTGGTCGCGTTATCCTCATAATAATGCATTATTAACTTCAAGTGTTCTCAGCCTCTTGTATTTATTATTCATGGGTTATATTAAAATAATTTAACAACATTATAGTGTTGCTTTTTTTTTTTTAGTTACAATTCGACAACATTATTTGATTAGACATTCCACATATCTATATAGAATTGGGTTATATTTTATTTTGATTTTTTAAAATTGAATTGACCAAAGAAGAAAATACAGGTACGATTCATATGAAGAAATAAAAGTTGTGAATTATTAGTATAATTTAATTGGAACAAGTGTATGTATAGTCCTTAACTGTGGGATTACAGGTGTAATCCTCTATGGATGAAGTAGACATTTGGAGTATTACGTGGCAAACTCTGGTTGATGGAAGGAGATGATGATAAAATGGCATACACGAGAATTAATCATCTTATGTTAAAATTTTATGCAACAAAACACTTTATTTTTATTAAAAATTTATATTAGCAAAACCAATCCAACCTTGTAATGGAATTCAATGTGAAAATAAATAGAAGAGAATAAAGTGACTTGCAGTAAAATTTTAAAAAAATTAATTATATATGTAAATTATATTAATAATTTATTAATATATATTGTTAATTTTTTTGAGAGTTGTAAGGGATTTAAATATTTTTTATACTTTAAATTTATTCTTAATAACATATTAATATTTTTTAAAAATCTAACATTAATCAATAAATAATAATTTTTGTAACTATTAAGCATAAGTTGGGTCACATGAGAAGATCCTCACTGAGCGGTGACCACACAGAGACAGGGCCTTATCGTGAAGAAGCAGCGAATCATAAGTCTATTTTGGGGCAGCGTTGTTTTTGTCCACACCCTTCTCTGCATACCTATTGCCTATTCACCACAAACACTTCCACTGTAAATGTCACTTTTCTCCTTCATTCTCCACCCAAATCACTTGTATGCCATTTCCTACACATCACCTTTCCATCATCATTTCTAATTAAGTATTTTTAATATTATTTTAAAATCATATAATCACTTTAAAATTTACTTTTATATCTTTATAAAAAATATCTTAAATATCTCAATATTAATAATGCTCTGTGAATCTCATAACGCTAGATCCTGATAACATGATATATTTATGGAGATTTCCTATTCTGGGTAGGGATTTAGAATAATCTATTTTATCGAGTATTCAGACAAAAGAGACCATCTATATTTAGTATATTGTTTTACCAAAGCATTGTAATGTTTTTATATGATTGATAGACAGAATTGGAGAATAAAATTAATTTTTTATATTGTTTTGTATTTTACTGTAACTTCCATTCTACAGAGGATTTGAATTAGAGATTGACAAGATAAAATAGTATATAATAATTTATTATTCTAATTTACACCAAATAAGATAATAATTTATTTTACTCTACACCTTAAATCAACTTATGTTGCCATAAGAGAAATTTTTGCGTACACAGTATTAAGCTTTGTCGTTATCTATTCCTTCATTGTTTTTACAAAAGTTAATCTTAGTGAAATAAACAAGACATTATTAGCATGTCTAATTAGCTTAACATTTTAATTAATATTATAATTGAGATGACAAGTAAATAGAAAATTATTCTTCTTAAAACAAATTATGGCATTAGTCGTGTTAGTTTCTTAATGACGAAAATGACATTTGTAGTTCGTAAATTAGCATTATCTAAGGACGAAAATGAGTTAAAATTTAGGAAAGATATCTGTTATCTCTCTACAGAGAGAGATTTATATTTGTATAGCATACGTTGGGTTAATTTGATAAATTAAGAAAGCATGAATATTATTATAATACTAGTATTAATGATAAAGAATTAATAAAAAGTATACTAAAGTAAAATATTTAACTTAATTAAAAAAAATTAACTTTTAATTATAAAATATAATACATAGTATAGATAAAACTGGACAGTATAATATTGATCATGTCCATATTTATACTTGCAAAATTTTGTAGATAATTATTCATGTCTAGACTCAGACTCATTTGATAGATAAATATACCCTATTCATTGTGTATTATTTTTATGAATTGAGTTTGGGTTTAATTACTATCGTTAATTCAATAATTAAATTCAATATATATTCCATTAGGAATCAAAATTTTTAATAAAAGAGTATATGATTAAATAAATACATATAATTTAAATAGCTGAAGTAAGCATAATTTTTATCATTTAAAAATATTAATAAAACTGATTTTATATTTTTCAAAATTTAATTTAACTATTTACTCTTATGGTACAATTTAATTCTTTTTAAACTCTAAAAGCACATTAAATATTTCACGTGGACTTTATCTACTAGATTATTAATTCTTAAAAAAAAAAAAGATTGTTTCTGTTGATCTTTTCTTCACATTAGAAAATAATAGTTTTATTTGGGTGAACTTGTAAAGAAACTTATACAAAAAATAATAAAATTTCTTTTATAAGTTAAAAATAACTTATCATTTTAAATTTTAAAAAAGTTAAATAAGAAATTTTCTGAAAAATAGAAAAATATAAGTTATTTTTAACTAATAAGAAAAAAATTATTTATTTTTTTATATAAATTTTTTCCTTAATATTTTTTAAAAAATTTACTCAAAAAGAAGCATATGTAATAATGCTGAGAAGGACTTTTGGCTTAAGCAGTTGACTCTTAAACTCATGATAACGAAAGCTAATTTTGATATCCCAAATAAGTATGTTTCTAATCAACATTATGAAGTGGCAAAAAAAGTTACAAATTTATGCATTTTGCTTTCCCTTCGTCGTGATGATCTGGAATCATCATTTCACCACCAAATATTATACTCACTTTGAGCCAAAACGAAGCGTGCATGTGTTTGGAATTGCATTGACAAGTCAAAATACACGTATTTATTATATGCTTTTTGGTAAAAAAAATAAAATTCTTTTAACATAAAAACCAAAAATAAAATTAAAAAAAATGCAAACATACTAGAAATGGTTTTTGGGAAATCTACAAGAGTCGAAAATTTCCCTTATTTGTATCTGTATCCTAACATCATTTTGTTTAAAATTACAAAACAGCTTTAACTTCAAATGTATAGTTCTTATTGTCTTAATTTTAATGTAATATTTAATTTAACTGTTAATTTTTATTTTTACCTTTTAACTTCAAAGTAATTTTTAACTTTGATTCAAAGTCAAATATTCAAAATATCGTATCATTATCACTCCGCTCAAATTGACTGCAAAATGAAGCTCTTACTAACTTCTATCATGAACTGTGGTTATAGACTCTTAAGTCAGTTCATCAAATCATCACTCATATTTATCTTGGTTTCAGTTGCAATCTCTCACCTGAATCATCACGAGTACACTTTCACTATCTAACCATTATGACATTACTGGTAGTATCAAATTTATTAGACATGTTATGCATACAGTACAAACAATGAACACACTTTCTTACTTAAACTGTTAGTGTCAAGTGTATATAATCTTAAATCTACCTTAGCTAACAACACATATATAAGGAGATAGGAAGAAATTCCCTACTTCAAGTACCCAATCTAACCACTCTATATCATTGCTTTAGTCACATTTTTATTAACTTAGATGTTAGAATATTTCTTACAAGAAAATCATCTTTAAAAAATTGTTGGAACACTGTAAATGACTTTCTTCAAACTCTTTCAACTTTTGAAGATTATCAAGATGAAGAGTTTAAATCAACTGCTCTCAATATTCATGTATTGACCAAACTTTACCTATTTTTAATATTCAATTGATGTAATTTTTAGTTAATAATATAAAAATTATTTAAAATTATATTTTTTTCCTAAATTGCATGTATCCTCTGGTTTTGTTCAAATAAAAATTATTTCTTTCATAGTATAATCTTAAAATCACCCGATCACTTTATAAAATCCCATGAAATTTAATTTTAATCATTTATAAAAAATCTAATAATCATTAGTTATCTATAACCTTTATCTAAAAATGCCATCTCTCATTGTTTAATAGTTGATTGATACTCCACAAAATTCCACACACAAACGTCATGATAGATTAAAATACATCAAAAGATCTATAAAGTAGTGAACCAAAATTTGAATTTCTCATTGAGAAGAGATCTCACATTATTTAGTGTCGGATTGTAAATTACCTCTTACAGAGGATACATGTGAAGAATAAAAATAAATTAATAAATGTGAAAAAGGAAAAAAAAATGGATGACTGACGAATCTTTTGACAAAGTTTTGTGGAACCCCGTCGATGTACACTTGAAATCTTGAAGGTACAAGAGTATAACGACAATCAATTTTTGAATGGGTTTGCAGTACATGGCATTCCTATCTTCCTAGGAAGCTTCGTAGAAACTTCATTACACACAAGGTACAACTGAGTTGATCTTACATGCTGAACAAACACTGTACGTAGGAAGGACTACATTAACTAGCATTCGACCTATTCAATAGCAATCATTTGTCCTTAAAGAAACTTTAAAGAAAAATGTCTGTTTTCATGTTATTTGTTTTAGTTTAGTTACACTCACTTTTACGGTCATTAATGAAGCGGAGTTTCATTTGGTTTATTTTTCTTTCTATTTATGTGACATTTTATAAAGAATATAAAAAAAGGTGTAAAAAGGATGTGTAAAAAAAATTATATATAAATCAATCAATAAATAAATAATAAATAACTTACTACTCATCATATTTTTCAAGTATAGAAAACTCCAAAACCCTAGGTTCCCTCTTGTGTAGGTAATCTCGGTTGAAAGCAAGATCTATAAAATACACGCATGCAGGTCCCTCTCTAACCCAGCAAACAGAACTACTTTCATACTGAATAGCATCATATAGTTTCTGTCCGCATTAGACCTACTTGATTATCGCACATGAGCCATGAGTAGCCACCCCTCACCAAATTCATATAAGGTTAAACACCTTCATTAATACCAAAAGCATGCCCTTTGACGTCAAGCCCGATTAAACTACAAGTTGATAGAAACCTTCAATGTTCCTCCAAACATTAAGGAATTGCATGAAAATATGAGAAGTAATAATAATAATAATAATAATAATAAATGAAAACGTTACATGATCGACGCGTGTACGGCAAATATGGCCTGACCTAGCGTGCATGGAAGGTCCATGATGAGTGATTATATCTATTTGTGTAAGGTTCAGTGCTTATCACAAGAGGTGGAAAAAGAAATATATTGGAGGCTGATATTTGGAAGGAAGTGCAAGGGTAGTTTGGTAATTTGATATGATTGCCCTTTATAAGAGGGTGAATGCTCCACATGATTGGATGTGCGTTTTATTGATTGCTGTTGCTGAGTTGAGCTTGGTCTTCTATTCCATTTTCGGATCATCCCCAGCACTAAAAACAACTCTTGATTCTCAAGGTATTGTCTTCTGCTCCTGCCCCCTATTTATTTTTTAGCCCAAAAAGAAAAGAATTAATTCAAAGTTATATATATTTTCCTGTACCATTGTCTATACAGTTATCATCATTGGAGTCTTCATTTTAAAATTTGATTGTATATTTTCTTCTATTTTACAATAGTTTATTACTTATCTCGTACCTCAGAAGTACAATACAATTATGGATATCTCAAGCTTTACTATCGCACGATTCTACATATCGCTAGTCTTTAATAAAGCCTCAATAATCTCCTTCCCTCCATAATCTTGTACATCTTTGGAAACAAAAAAGCGCATGCAAAAAAATAAAATAAAAGAGCACACCCATTCCCGGTATGGCACTCCACTATCATATGATGATATTATAAATTTACATAACCTGATATACTATATACTGATTAAATCATGATACCATATTTGATAATGTAGGGGTAAATAAACTACACAAAAACAATTTTATTACATTATTTTCTCTCTTTGGCAAATAGCGGTGATTATGGAGAAAGCAAATTCGTCATCCGGATTAGTGAGGACAAAATCGGATCAGCTAGTGGAGTCAATGGTGGCAGCTTTGAAATCACCACCGTCTGATCATTCAATGAACGGAATGATGGAAGGTGGTGGGACCCTTTCGAGGAAATCAAGCCGGCGGCTGACGGCGGCGTCGCCGGGACGCGGCGGCGGAAAGAACACACACATAAGAAAGTCAAGGAGTGCTCAAATAAGTCAAATGAAATTGGAGCTTGATGATGTGAGTAGTGGTGCAGCACTTAGTAGAGCCTCGAGTGCTAGCTTGGGACTCTCATTTTCATTCACTGGATTCACTATGCCTCCTGAGGATATTGCTGACTTCAAACCTTTCAGTGATGATGATATCCGTAAGTTTCATCACATTTTGATTGCTTATTCTCTTTATAAAAATAAGAAATAAATTGAGTCAAATTTTGTACATAACCTTAATAATGATGTTGTGATTGTTCCCATAAGTGAAAATAATGGACATCTCTTATTTAATTTATCTCTGGTTTTTTTGGTGAAGGGAATATCAGTTACCTAAAGAGTGAATAATAATAATAATAATTTGTTTTTAGAAGAAAAAAAATTGGAAAGTAAAATTTCAGACATACATGTAGAGCCGTAGCAAATTGATAACTTTCCATGTTCTGTGTGAAATTATGAGTTTATATTTTTATAAGAAACTGATAACAGATAAGAAATTTGATTTCAAGCCTAACAAAAATTAATGTTAACATCTCGGTATTGTTTTTATTAATTAATAAAATTTTGTTTGAGTTTCAGTCATTCAATTTAAAGAACAAATGTTGTATATCATTGGTCTAGGTTTGTGTCGTGCACTTACAGTAACCACAAAATATACGTGGTGAGATTTGCACTGGTGTCTGATTTACATTGCAGATCTGGGTAGATTTCCTTTTTGTGATTAATAATGACATAAACATATTTGCATTTATAAGAGTGACCGTAGGCAAGGGCAAAACAAACTCTTAAGTACATGTGAAAGGTAAAATAGAAGAAAAATGTTGTTTGTATGATTAATCTATAATACTTTAATTTCATGTGTTTTTATATATATATATATTTAGAGTATATTTTTATAAGCGTATATATAAGAAAATACAAATACTAAATTTAAAATATAATGTTATATTTAACAGTTCAAATAATGAAACTAAAATAGAAATGGTCCTTCAATTTTTAATTTTTATTGTAAATTGATATAATACAATGAAAGTACAGTAGCCTGGTACGTGTCCGTAACTGAGATAAAGCATTGCTAGCCAGTGGCAATAACGAAGTCATGTGATGTCATTGATTTCGGGGCCTGAGAGCAGTTTAGAGGGGTCTCAGCTTCAAGCCTTCAACTCAATGTATTAATAAAATGTTTTTGAATTTTTACACTAAAAAAATTAAATATAATATTTAACATACATACAATGTTAAATATAATATTAACTGTAAAGTTGACACTTGACATAATAACTAAATGTGTTTATTACAATAGCTGTCGGTAAAAATGAAACCGTTGTCAAACGTTCATATCTTGTAAGGTTCATTTATTTTAAAGCTATGAAATTCACTTCCAATAAAAGATTCTAATAAAAATAAGATTCTAATTATATTTAAAATTAAGTTAATGAAAATGAATTATGTTCAATTCAAAAGCAACACTCAACCTACTTGCATTCACATTGACGTACGTAGAGGATGTGTCTTTGTCGGGTCCAGTCCAACCAGCCACCTCTAATCAGAAACCCCGTGAATAACGACCCAACATAAAAAAAACAGGTAACTCTAGTGGTACCCACTACCCATCACTCAGAACCAAAACAGTGTAGCTGCCATGTCCAAGATAGCTACTGTCATTTTCCTTAGAGCAATCATATATATATATAATAACATTGTTCCAATTAATTGACTTTTTTAACACTAAAAAGGGTGTTATCAGTATTTTAAAAAAGTGTTAAAAATATATTCTTTCTAAATCAATTATTTATTATGATTTATATAGAATTATAAAAGTACGAGAGCAAATAATTAAATTAAAAAATATTATATTATCTTTATAATTTTTAAGGGTGTGTTTGAAATGATAAATTGTTAATATTATTTTTCGCATGGATTCATAAACCCCCGTATATTTCTACTTCTCTAAATTTTTGTCTCTTTGTCATGTTTACGTCTTTCTCTGTAACAAGGAGCAAGTAGCAGTTCTTCTCGTACTACTATTGTGCGGGGACATGTGTACATGACCCGTTTTGTGGACAAAGATCTTGAAAGACAATTTAGCTGTTAATTAGGTCGCACTTCTGGGTCCTAACACAAGTGAACCTGTCACTTCCTGTGTTTTTTTAATTTTTCTTACCCTTCCTTTTTTCTTGGAGAACAAATTGCCTCACTTTTGGGCCCATCAATTAAATTCAGGTTGACTTTTAATTTTCACCCTTGTGTGGATGTAGTAGTCTCACTACTTGTTGGTGTCAATATAGTCATAACCATGGTCCATGCTGTCTTCCCCACTTGTGTTTTGATTACAAGCAAATGTTGCACCCTTATAACGAAATCATGTAGTGTCAATGACACGATAAACATCCATGCATAGTTTCTTCTTAATCATTTTACAGATATTTGCCCCTCCTAAACTAATACCACCACAAACCCAAGATTTTATTATTATTATTTCTCGTGTATACAATGTTGTACTAAGTGAAATTAAACTTATAATTGCCTGGCATAGGCTTGTGAGTGAAGGAGCTTCTTTTTCCCACCTTGAATTTGTATAAAAGAGTTTATTATGTATGTTGCAGCGGAGGATATCGAAGCTGGAAGAAAGACAAAGTTTCAAACGGAGCCTACTTTGCCTATATATCTTAAGGTAATGTAACATGTCAAAAATTATGTCGCTCATTTCCATGCCTGCATCTACCTCTCTGCCAGGGTTCAAATTAAACCTTCAATTCAGTAACAGAACATGAGATTGATGTAGCCCTGTGTATTTGGGCAGGCAAGGATGAAGCTTCCTCTAGCAATCAACGCGACCAATAGAAAATGGCTAGCAAAATTGCATGGTCAGGTTCAGTCTTGTACAAAGTTTCATGTGACATCAATGTACAAGACTACCCCTTCTTTCCTGATAACCATATAAAAATAAATTAGTTGTACCAATTACTAAAACTATAGATTGGTACTCAAATCTTTTGAGGCTTTAGCTATATACTAGTGAGGCTTTATAAAATGGTTTGGCTGAGAAAGAAGGGTGTGGGAGTGTGAATAGCTAGACACAAATTTCTACTAAAAAGAACATATTATTACGGTGCATTGAGCTTACATTTGGTGATGTGTTTTATTTTATAATGTGTTTGTGATGGATCCCACTTAATAAGTAATGTTCTTATTATGGAATCTGCAGTTCACGGATGTGACATACAAGATAGTGATCAAAGGCATGACAACAACTGAAGAGAAGGATATCTTGAATGGGATCACTGGTTCTGTAAATCCAGGTGAAGTTTTGGCATTGATGGGTCCCTCGGGAAGTGGAAAGACAACTCTATTAAATTTGCTTGGAGGCAGGTTAAGTCAGCCCATGGTTGGTGGTTCTATCAGTTACAATGACCAACCATATTCCAAGTTCCTCAAGAGCAAGTAAAATATACAAGACTCTTAAAGTACATTTTAAACATATAAAAGCAGGAAGTTTTTATTGAAAAAAAAAATTGTATTCATTATACTTTTGTATTCTGAATGTAATAATTGATTTACTTTTCAATAAAAATTTATTAATTTTAGTTGCTTAAAAATCAGTCCTAAAGGCTGATGCCACATATTTCAAATTGGGGAGCAAACACATTCAAAGGTGAATGGCATGAGGTACTTAAATTGAAACAAACTGATGGAACTCTTAACAAGTCAAAGGTTACTACAAATTTGTAGTGATCAATATCCTCATGTCAATAAGATAGTAATTAGACAACTTTTTTCTTCTTCAAATGGTTCTTATATTTGCTTCAGATAGCGTGCAAAATGACTTATTATTTTTTCCATATACTGTACTTACGCTAAGCATGTTGCAGGATAGGATTTGTGACACAAGATGATGTTCTATTTCCTCACCTAACTGTGAAAGAAACATTAACATACGCAGCCAGGCTAAGACTTCCAAAGACATTCACAAAGGAGCAGAAAGAAAAACGAGCTTTAGATGTCATCTATGAGCTTGGCTTGGAGAGGTAAATGCTTCCATTTCATCATTAACAAAATGTCCAAAATTATAATGAGCACAAAGCTCATATTGATAGAAAGAACAAGGTAAATACTAAAGAGTAGAGCATTATAACCCTTCAACAGATGTTATTACTTAATTATAGAAGCCAATATAGTTTATATTTTATGTATGAGAAAAGGTGCCAAGACACTATGATTGGTGGTTCCTTTGTTCGTGGAGTATCTGGTGGAGAGAGGAAGAGGGTTTGTATTGGCAATGAGATCATAATCAACCCTTCTCTTCTTTTTCTTGATGAACCAACATCTGGTTTGGATTCTACAACAGCCTTAAGGATCGTTCAGATGCTGCAAGACATAGCAGAGGTATTTGTTATATCACCAGCTAAGATTTTAGAGCATACTTAAGCTCTGTTTGGAACAAGTTATGGAAATAGTTTATAACTTTCATAAGTTTTTATTTCAAAAAGCTATTCAGTATAACTTATCAAAATAAGTTCCTTATTCCAAGAAATTTTATGGTCAAATATATGGTACAAGCCCTCATGTAAATAGAGCTTGTTGAATAAATATTCATTAAGCTAATTTTCCAAATGCACCCTTAATAGTTAACATAGTTGAAAGACGAGGGAAGGAAAGTCACTAATGCTAATTACAAACCACATGACAAGTAAACACACTGACTCATGAAAATGGCATCCATGACAATTCAATTTAAATTCATTTGGACGGTATGGTCTTCAATGCACTATTTTCACTAATGCTTTATGTAAGCATAATTTATTCCTATCTAAGTTTATTTATTCATAGATACATTTAATTTAATTATATTATATGCTTTGGTGATGAACCAACAATTATCTTCTCCATGATTAAACCTATTCCACTAACCTGTTAATTGTAATGGTAGGCTGGTAAAACAGTGGTGACAACAATCCACCAACCATCAAGCAGACTCTTTCACAAATTTGACAAGTTGATCCTTCTTGGAAAAGGGAGTTTGCTTTACTTTGGAAAAGCACCAGAAGCAATGAATTACTTCCATTCTATAGGGTGTTCACCACTTATTTCCATGAACCCAGCAGAGTTCTTGCTAGACCTTGCTAATGGAAACATTAATGATGTTTCCCTACCTTCAGAGTTGGAAGATAGAGTGCAAATGGGAAATGCAGAAGCTGAAACACACAGTGGAAAACCATCACCAGCAGTTGTACATGAGGTAATTTTCCCTTAATCATTTAATGCTAAATAACTCAATTCTCCATATTTTGCATTTAGAGACTGTTTAAAAGAGCTTATGAACGGCTTATAGAAACAACTTATGACTTTTATAAACTCTTTTCAGCTTATTTCAATGACCTTCTTGGTATAACTTATTAAAATAAGTTGTTTTTAGTTTATCCCAATAGTTTCATGATTAAATTTATAACATAAGTCATCGTTTAGAAAAAAGTCTTATTGAATATGTGCTTGAATAAGTTATAATACATAACCATTTTTCTATTTTAAAGATCTACAAAATTTCCTTCATATTTGTAAAACTTTCTGCAATTAAATTTATAACATAAGTCATCGTTTAGAAAAAAGTCTTATTGAATATGTGCTTGAATAAGTTATAATACATAACCATTTTTCTATTTTAAAGATCTACAAAATTTCCTTTATATTTGTAAAACTTTCTGCAATCAACTCGAATGCTGTTATACTCAACAGATTCGTTTGCTAAGCCATTATTTGATGGATATTTTGTGGTAAAAATGATACTCGTATCTTTCTTCAGTCTTGTATGTTGAGAAAAGAGAAGAAATATATGCAATTGGCTGGAATTTCATCACAGCTCCCATATGTTTGAATTGAATGTTCAGTTACATCAAATAATTAACTGTGTTCTTTCCATTTTCTTAATATTTAAGGCTAAGCAATAGAAGGAATGTCAATGGAGTACAAAACATCCTTTAGTTGATGACTCAGTTTATAAATCAATTGGGCATTGAGAAAATTTTGTAGTATGTAAATATTAATATTATAAACACAGGAATTTTGCATGTTTGCATAACAGAAGCAAAGTTAATAGAGTAAACACAAAAGTTGGGTGGGAGAGTAGTTTACTAATTGAATTTAAAGGATATTTCTGGAGAAAAGAAAGTTTTCATCTGATTGAAAATGAACTTTTAACAGTATCTGGTGGAGGCATATGAAACTAGAGTAGCAGAAACAGAAAAGAAAAAAATAATGGTTCCTATCCCCCTTGATGAAGCAGTGAAGTCTAAAGTAAGTTCTCCTAAAAGACAATGGGGAGCTAGTTGGTGTGAACAATATTCCATACTATTTTGGAGAGGAATCAAAGAAAGGAGGCATGACTACTTTAGCTGGCTGAGAATCACCCAAGTTTTATCCACTGCAGTCATCTTAGGATTACTCTGGTGGCAATCAGATGCTAAGAACCCAAAAGATCTACAAGATCAGGTAAGCTATTATATTTGCTACTCATAAAATGTTGACAAGGCCATGGGAAAAAAACAAGAAAGACCATATTGAAATCTGAAATGCCAATGTTCTCTCTTAATTTGCCCTTTTCTTTTAACATATTCTTCATTATTTTTTAAATTTATTAGTAATGACAGAAATAATGAGTGAGATTGATTAAAAAGGTGGTGGAACTCATCATTTTTGAGTTCTAATAAATTTTAGTTAATAACAAGAGTGTTGAAAAGAATAATATTAAACTGTCATCTATAAAACACAAAAACTCCTCATGCTTGAACATCTCTTCTGTACTTATTTGACCCGTGAACACATTCTTTATTAAGTGTTCATTTAAAAAATTATTTTTTATCAACTTAAACACCTAAGCCAACACTTTCCATATGGCTCGAGTACTTAAGCAAACACTTTCATATAAATAACCACTTCAAGGATACTAGTATCATAAAAAATATACTTATATTTTTTAAAATAATTAAGAAAATTCAGCTTTAATATAATATAAAATATTAAAAAACAATCCTCTATTCATATTTTACCAACAAGTATAACTAACATGTATCCCTATTATCACCAAACTCTCTTAAAGCATAAACATTGTAAGTTAAGATATATTTTTGTGGATTGCAGGCAGGACTACTTTTCTTTATTGCTGTTTTCTGGGGATTTTTTCCTGTTTTCACAGCAATATTCACATTTCCTCAAGAGAGAGCAATGCTGAGTAAGGAACGAGCAGCAGATATGTACAGACTAAGTGCATACTTCTTGGCTAGAACCACAAGTGACCTTCCACTAGACCTCATATTACCAGTGCTCTTTCTACTTGTTGTTTACTTCATGGCTGGTCTCAGACTCAGTGCTGCCCCTTTTTTCTTCACCATTCTCACTGTTTTCCTCTGCATTGTGGCAGCTCAGGTATGTATTTCATAAACTACTAAGATGCCAATCAAAATTAGAATAATGTTATTCTTATAATAATTTTGTACAATAGACAGAACTTAAGTGCAGTTCCACAAGCGCTTTCAATGTTATTTTTTAATCAAAATTAGAGTTTTACTTTAATAATTTATAACAACATTAAATACAAAATTTATATAGAGGTGAAACTCTAGTTTAGATTAATAAACAGTACAAAAAATAGTTAAAGAACTGTACCTAAGTTTTGTGTTGATATTTACTCATTTATTTTTTTTATTACATCCTTGTACTCATAACATTATTGTAAAAATACATGTCTATATGGTTTGAATAAAATTTTCTATTTTCATTCTTTGTTCAAACTCGATATAAACGTGTCATTTCATTTTCATGTTATTTCCTTGTTTTCAAGGATTTAGAACATAATTAAAGCAATATGATATTTTTGTAATTATTTATAAAAATAAAAATATTTTCTTAAACCTAACAAATCCTAAAATAGTATGCAGTTTTGACAGTGGTAGGTTGTGAAACAGGGACTGGGACTCGCTATTGGGGCTACACTAATGGACTTAAAAAGAGCAACAACTTTGGCTTCAGTAACTGTGATGACCTTCATGCTCGCTGGAGGATTTTTTGTGCAGGTAAATACATCAGTTTTTGTTTGAAATACAATGTTTTGGTTATTAAATTTTGTTTATTATAACAAATACTTTAAAGTCCCTTAATAAAAAACATTCAATTTCAATTCATCATTGTATATATTTGTATGACAAATGTTAATACGGGTTAAAAAAATTAGAAAATTTTTATTAAAGAGTATCATCCATTATTATATTTTTATTAATTACTAGTTTAAATGTATTCCAACTGTGTTTTTTAATAAAAAATTTCATTTATTAATTTCTTGACACATTGATTAGCAAAACTCATTTTTAATAACTTAAAGATACAAGTATGAAGTAATTTTTATATAAATACTTAATTTTCATTAAGTACATTTACTTTTTGTTCCTTTGTTCAGTGACAATTGTAACATTTAACTAACTTTATGGTGAAATAGCTGACATGTGATGTTAAATGTGGCAGAAAGTGCCTGTGTTTTTTTCTTGGATCCGCTACATGTCTTTCAACTACCACACCTACAAACTATTGCTAAAGGTGCAATATGAACACTTGGCACCTACCATTAATGGGATCAAAATTGATAATGGTGTAACAGAGGTATCTGCTCTAATTGCCATGGTTTTTGGTTACCGTTTCTTGGCATATCTTTCTTTGAGACGAATGAAACTTCAATCTGGAGCTTGAAATAACAAGGTGCTTCCTATCTACATTAAGAGTCATATTAAATGAAAAGGCTCACATGTAAGAGGATTGATTACAGATTCAAGTACCTAGCATTGGTGGGTCTAGTGCTTTTGGCATTTTCTTTTCTGATAATCATGTGAATATTGCAGTTCATTTAGCATGTTGAAATGTCACACATGCATGCCACATGTTTTTATAGGCACATCAGTATCTGAAGAATTCGGAGATGTGTTTTTGAGAATTACTTAACTCTCTGAGAGTGTTTCATTGACTGGAGCTTGTAACTAGTGCTGGAATTAGAGTTTATCCATTTGCTATTAGTCTTTTTGAATTGTCATTAATCAAGCAAGATATAATTTGACACTACTAAAATCTGCTTTTTGTTCTCTAATTATCATGATTTTACTTTTGGGTTATATCAAACACAAACTAATTATGGACCTGATAAAAAATTATAAAACAAATATATAAATTTTTAAAATGAAAATATTAGTTTTTAGCTTATTAAAAGAAAAAATATATAACCAAGCATCGATTAAACACAATTGTGCGAAAAGGATGGAAGCCAATTATAACATCATATGGGTATCTGCAGTTTAGTCTGGGTCAATTTTAATGTAAAAAATCATTCAAAATTGTTTTTATAATAAACTAACAGTAGTTCAGTTTGGCTCAGTTTAAAAATACTATAAAAATCCAATCAAACTATTCTTTTATAGTTTTAATTGAATTGGTTATTTTGATTTTTTCTTTATCATTTTTTAAGAGATAATATTTTATTTTTTGTTGGCAAATAAAAATTAATAAATTAATTAGAGTATAAATTGCATTTTAAAACAATATATAAATTTTTAATTGACTAACTTTTACTTATTTGAAAAAAAGAATGGAAGACACCTTGGTTGGTTATGTATCGATTTTTTGTCTTTATGAAAATTGAGTTACGACCTAGATCTCGACATTAAAAATTGCGTAACTTCTTTTACGCGTGGAAAATAAATAAAACTTTAATATTTATTGAGACAATACCGATATTAAGTAATATTTTTTTTTAATTTTAGATTTAAAAAATATTTATGCTAAAACAATATGAAATATTGACATTGTTTCATAAGTGTTAGGTAATTAACATTCATGACAATTTATAAGTTGATGATTTTCTTTTATTTCAATATTTACAATATTAAATAATAAAATATATGTATTTTAATTAAAACTAATAAAAAATAAAAATAAAATAATAAAATAGATAAAGCAGTTATTAAATAAAAAAATGCATCATAATAAGATAGTAAACTTATTTTTTTAGATACAAAATATTATATTTCATATTATTTATATGTTAATCAACAATATTTATTTTTAAGTAATAAATATAACTAATTAATATTGTTGTTAAATTAACTTTTTTTCAGTAAACATTAGATGTCTCTGTTTTATTTGTTTTGGTCAATAATATTAGAGGTTGAAGCATGGCCGACGAAAGTATCCAAAACTCATAAAAGATTAAGATTAACAATTTTGTATATATATAATTTAAAGTTTATCCTAAACCTAAAAATTTGGTACAATGCATGAGAAACTTATTACCTTACTAATACAATTATTTACGTCAAAATCTATTTATTTTTAACTTCTTCACCTTCAAATATGATTTTCCTTATTTGATATATTATGCTTTCAATAAAAGAAAGTAGTATATACAAACATGTTAATATGTTTTAACTATAAAATTATTTAATACCTGTTTAGTTGAAATTTAACAAATCTTTTTTAGTAAGAGTTAAATTGAATCGTTGAATATTTATAAATTATCTATATAAATTAATTTAAATCATATATGAATCATCATTTTTGAAGGTGATGATAGTTTTACTGATATCTTCTTTCTTATGACATTATATCTGTTATTTATCGTTTATTTTTATAATTTTATTCTCAAACTACTATTTTGAAATATTTCTTTTACATTTATATGAAAAGTAGGTCAAGATTTTAAATTTTCAAATCTAGACATTTTTTGAGCCTTCCACGTGTATCTTTCATGGGAATCCTCTTCATTGTAACATGTTTACGTGCACATAATTTATTGGTCCCTTTGCTCGGTAAAGATCACCTTATTGTATGCATTACTTTTGTATGGACAAAGAAAACTACTCATACAGTCATCACTTACATTTTTACACTTCAAGCCCATTCCCCCACCCCCTCCACCACATACAAATAATATAAATAAATTTTAAAAATAAGAAGCTAAAACCAAGTTAAACTGACAAATTGCTAACTCTTTGGAAAATTGTGGAGGAAATCTGCAGTGTGAGGGTACTACTGCATCCAACAAAATGGTTCCTATATATTAAACCTCATGCTAGTGTTCTTAAGAAATTAAGTAACGGAAGCAGCATGGCATCCAACACAGGTGATTTTTTCTCCAACCCTGTCAAAAAAAATCAATGATTTAAATGAGGCTAAAGAAAATTCAACTTACACCGTCTCCACCATTCTTGTTCTTGGTTAATGACCTTAAGACTAAGTTTAAGCATCAAAAAATAATAAATTTTTATTTAAAAAAGAAATATTTATTACACTAGAGTCACAAAAGTATTATAAATACTTCATTTTTTCATATAAAGTTTACTACTTTTAGATGCTTAAACTCAGTCCTGAGAACCGAAGATAACAAAAGTTACAAGAGTTACATTATTTACCATGATATCCCCAATATTCATCAATTCAAATTCTGCCAATGTGTGTTAAAAATTTGAAACTAACAAGAGCAAACATACATACTAAAATATCAAAATTAACTGATAGGGAAGCATTATAGAAAATCATAAAAGCAGGCTCAGCTAACATGAAACCCAAGGTGCATTCAATGCTGTGTCTTACCGATATCTGCAGCTACTCGATGAGCACACATAACTCCTGAAAAAGCTACTGAAATAACACCTTGTCCAGGGAAGCAGCTATCACCAACACAGTAAAGACCATCTATGCCCTGAAAGTTTTATCGATTTATGGCTTACTTTAATCAGTGCATTCTAAAAGCATAGCAGAATATTCTATGACCAAACTGTTATTCATTTTTGAAACTAAGCTTACTGAGGTATTAAATGGCATTCCCAATAAGCCCTTTGGGATTCCGCGTGGCATTGGACCATAAGTTCCCCCATCACGGGCTAGGTATCGCCGGTGTGTCTTTGGTGTCCCTACCTATAACAGGCTTTAAAATTTCAGAAAACATACAAATAATAATAAAAGCTCGAGATCAAACAGCAAAAGAAATCCTACAGTAGTTATATAAAGGTAGTTTCATTTACTGAACAGATAATTCAAACATGTACACATTACATGCATGCTTCTACATTTAGCTACAACAAGCACAATTAGTTGTCCTGAAATGCATTGTGTAGTATACAATCATAGTAGAAGAAATAACTTCTAAATACCAGTATGCTTTGCGTATAAAACAGAAAGATACACTTGTTTTTGTTTCAAAATCATGATTGCATAAGAGCATTTAATCAAGTAGAAGCCACCCCACTTTCTTCCAGATTTTTTTAAAATTAATTCAATATATTATAAAGCCATGAAAAGAGTTCATTCAATGGAACAAATATACTTCTTAGACTAAACTCAGAGTTAACTAAAACTGCAAACTCCTCTCTGAAAGAAAGAAAAAGGTAGTATCATATGCATCGAGGCTCTTAATTGACAGAGTTAACTTAAACTATGAAGCCTTATCTTGCTTACTATTCTAGTCACAGTATGTTACAAGTATCATTAAGATTTTGTGAACAAATAAAAAAACTATCTTGAATGCCGCTGGAGTTTGAACCTTTCAAGAACAAATGTATTTATGCAGCACCAACATTTATGTTTAATATTTATCATTACGGGCATGACCGAATTGAAGCCCACAAGCAATGAAATAAACGATAATTAGTTCTTTTCAAGAAATATAGCTCCAGTTTATTCATTTGTCAACAGGAAATAGGATTAGTCAAAATCCATTACACAAATCATTGTTCCACATACCAGATCTACATAATTCTGTATTAAAGAAATATCTACAAATCCAAGTAACTCTTTGCCAGATTAACTAAATTTTTAAAATTAAAACATTTCAACCAATGCAGGCAAAAAATTGTGTTTAAGCCCCCATAGTTAAGCTAATAAAGATAAGTACAATCACCGCACATTGATTTATTTTCCAATTGCTTTTCACAGTGTAGGGAGCAGAATTACTGTTCAGGGTTACAAGGTCAGAGGTTATAGCTTGTACCTCCATAAAATCGATGGATGATCTAAGACCTGGAAACAATTTCTTCTCTAATCTGCTTATGATTTCATCTGCTACAACCTGCTTCTTTGCCTCATATTCAACTTTTGAGAGACCCTAGCACAGAAAACAGTGACATAACTGAATGTTACAGATTTTATGCATAAACTAGCAGCAAATTAATAAAACAGGAGGCAAAAAAAAGTGGTTCCTAAATTATAGTTATAGAAGCACACAAGTTAATTTTTCAATTTTATTTAGCAGATTCACTACTCAGTATTGCCTACCTCCCAGTCCTCTACAGAAGAAGTTGTGAATATGTGAAGGATATGATGGCCCTCAGGGGCCAATGAGGAATCAAGAACAGTTGGTATACTTAAAAAGATACCTCCATATGGCTCCTCCAATTTGGTCCAGTTGCTCTAAAGAGGTCAATGTAAAAACATAAACTTGATTATTAATTCAAAGGTGCTAAGACTATTAAGTATCAGTTGAGTAAACTTTCAACAACCTCAAGCACAAAATGGTGACAATCTGTATCTAGTGGCAAAACCTCAGCTTTAACCCCCATGTGAATTGAAAGAAAAGATGGAGCTTTAACATAAACTTTCTGGAAGTTCTCCTCTTCTTTCGGAAGTGGAACACCCTTCAGTAACTTTCCTACAGTGTAACATTATGCAATTAAGGATCAACTAACTAAGAATTAACGAAGGCATGAAAGATACATGAAGATTATCATTGATTAACAAAATGTCTAATAAAAATTCTCATTTTAAACTGACCGAATGTATCCCATCTGCTAGCATTTGATATTATGGTTTTGGCAAAGAACTCTCTGCCATCTGAAAGCCTAACACCTACCTGCAAAAAGCATAGTACAATCCTTGAGAAAAAAAAAGCTGCTTTCCTAAATATTTCACCATTGTTTCTAATCCGATATCTCACTTACAGCTTTGCCCTGATCAGTTATAATACCAGTGACATTCGCCTTGTAAAGTATCTCACTACCCTGATCAACTAGACCTTTTGCTAAGGACTTCGCAATCCCACCAACACCACCAAGAGGATAGTTAATCCCACCAAAGTGTCTGTCACATAGAACCTGGAGGAAAAAAATTAGTCAAGCCATACAGGAAATAGAGAGCGAGACAGGAAGACGTGAATTATGCAACTGGCCACTGTTTCGATTGGTACCCAAATTTCTAACTAAAACAATGTTAGCTGTCACCGCTACATTCCTAATTTTAGAATCAGTTACGAGATAGAAAAAAAATAACAGGTCATAAACATGATAAATAATAATGGAAGGATGATGTTCACATTTTACAATTTACATGCTTAACATTTAGGAGAAATAAAAAAACTTAAACATTTGTAAAGATATTTGCAGAAAAACAGTGAATGCTGGATCATATTCATGCTAGTTCCATTTTTCACAATCAAATCCTCCACCCACTGCAACTATCAGCAATGAATGGAAGATGAATCCTCCTCTCCTAGACAATTTTAAGAAAGAAATAAGAAAATTTCATGAACTGAAAAAATGAAAAAATCTAAGTGAACAGATTACCATGCTAGCATTGATCATTGGTGTCCGCAAAGCGTTGACTGTGCTCACTATAAAGCACTGCAATACCACAGAGATTTTATGGATGAAAGTTACCAAATCACATGCCAATAAATTGAATAATTAATCAATGAGTAAATAAGTAGCGCTATCTCACTTGAAAACAGGTGTTTACAGAAAGATATAAAGTATGTGGCATTGTCTGTTAGCCTCAATTTCTAATATGGTACCCACAACAATCATTCTCAACCTCTTTGGAGACTCATAATAATTGATTTCTCTCATATTTAGCTACCCAATGTCATTCTTATCACATTTCACAGAACAACTTTTCACATTATATTACATTTTCCCTAATAAATTCAAAAAACTTCTAACTGAATCAAAAAGTTGCTGTATCTACCTCTACATCTATGAAAGACAACAACTGTGGATCTTGAATGTACTTCCGTGCTATAGCTCCAGCATTTTGAGGCAAATAATAAGCTGCCATATAATATTGTCAGAGAGGCTAGTGCCAGCCAAACATATGAAAATATTGATAGAAAGCTCAAATATGGAGTGAGATGCAGACAGTAGAACATGGTAACCCCTATCAATAGTGCACTGTTATATTTCATGCTTATTGGTTAATAGAGATCACCTATCACATGAATGTTGCACAGAAAAAAATACCAATGAATAATCAAGGTTGGTCATGTCCTTTGCTCTGCTCAGGACAAAGCAAAAGTTCATCAGATGCTCACATTGATTGAAATCTTCATATTGAAGGCTTGCATAAATCGACTATCACAACTTGGTATTGCAATGAAGTGATGCATTTCGAAGATTTCAGCAAATTAATTGCAAATTCAGAGACCCCTTAGGAGATCAATATAGGTTTTCTAAAATGTTTATCTTTTATACAAATTCTCCACCCAAACATAAGAACTAGACTATGTGCTAATTTTCTAGGTCTAGGGTACACCTTATTCTGGAAAATAAAAAATTAATTGCATGATGGAATTTTCCATAAGCATCACTAGCACAAATATTGTCCTGATCTTCACAATAGGAAAAAGTTTGTTGAGACGACTAGTTATATACTGCAGCATTTCAGCAGAGAACTGTAAATAATATGTAGTTTAGTGATGTATTTGTTCCCTCTTTCACCCTTTGCTTCCCCTCAACACTTCTTTTAAATCAAAAGTTAATCTCACTGCTAAAAGATGACTACTCCCTATCAATGAAAATGTTGATAAGATAAGATAAGCAATGTGGAACAAAAAATCATACCAACTTTGTAATTGAAGTTTATGATTTTAAACTTATGGCCTCTCAATTTTAAAATAAACAAGATGAAAGTACCTAGTGTCAAGCATTCAAGTGGCTTCTGAAAAAACTGTCCAAAAAGGTAGAGTGGCTCTTCTAGTGACTTCAACTCCAACGAATTCAGGGCGTTGAAAATCTAGCCATAACACAAATAAGCTCTTAAAAAATTGAATTACAAAGAGAGGCAAAAATGCCTTAAGGGGCCTGCAGTCACCTCAATTAAGACAAACCTTCCAGCATTCACCATAGAATTTAAGGATACCCTCCTTTTCATGGGGAAAGTAACTGGTCAGTTCTTCAATGAATTTATCATATTCTCTGTGCACTCGAACAGAAAGGTTATTGGGTAGATGGAAATGAACAGTTGTAGGATCAGGTATCACTTGCATCTGGCAACCAACTGCGTCCAATGCTTGTGTTATCAAATTGAGATTACCCTACACAAATACAAGGTACATCGTGTTCATGATCCTAGGATATATACAATTCAACATAAACAAAAATTAGAAGCTAGTGCCCAAAGCAGCCATTGGCTAAGATATTATTCAAAAGCAAACTACAGTTATTCAGAACTTAGTTGATCAGAAACCATGCTTCACATAAAGCAACTCATGGTCATGGGAGTGTCATTGAGAAAACATCTACCCTTATGTTCTTGATTCCATAATTTACTTTTGATAATTGTACACCAAGTGTATGTTTGAAAACATGTTGAAAAAATCTGTAAATGTGAATTCAAAGCAGAAGCTACAACTAGTAGTGTTAAAGTAAAGATGGATTCATGCTCATTCGAAGGTGAATCCAAATATGCTACAATTAAAAGAACAAACTAGATACAGTCATTCTGTTCATTGCCACAAGCTAAGCGCAGAAATTATAACGATAGTAAAACAGAAAAGTGTGTTCCTTATTAATATGCCAAAGTAAAAAAAACTAGTAAATAGCAACCAGGAACAAACAGTAAGTCCCTTTCACAAGGCATGCATTCATATTCCTTCATTGTAAGTGATAACAACACAATAAGAATCACATTATGCACCAAATGAATTAATAAATAAAAAACAAAACAAAAAATAAAAATAAGTGACCTTGTCACTGAAACCAAACATGACAGAAGCGCCCACATCAAAAGTATAGCCATCCCTTTGGTAGAACCCAGAGCTTCCACCAGGAATCACATATTTCTCCAAAACCAAAACTCTTGCACCCTTCACTGCCAGCTGTGTCCCTGTAACCAACCCTCCAATCCCAGACCCAATAACAATTGCATCAAAGCCTTCACCAATACCCTTCTTCACCCCCTCTTCCACACTCAGAGTCTCTGTTGACTGCACCGCCAACACCCCTTTTGTTCTGCGAGCATTGGAGCAAGACCCAGATGGAAATATATTCCCTCCACAGTTTCCAAACGCTAAAGACTGAAACTTTGGGCTCAAGTAGTGGCTTTGAGAAGCAGCGCGTGTTGGGCCAGTGAGAACAAGAGGAGAGTGGTGACAAATAAGCATGGTTAGAAGGAGTAGCAGGTTCGTTAATTTTGGGGGAAAGTTGAACTGTTGAAAATTGGCGGTGGCATGATGGGTTGGGTGAGATTATGGTGTTTGTGTGGATTCCACTCACTCCCAATATTGATTCCCCGTAGAGAGAAAGACAGATGACGATGTTTGGCACTTGTTAATGCATGTTGCAAAATTATGAGCTGCCATGTTTGGTACTAAAATAATTGATGGTTGTCTTCTTAGACATTAAATGATACAATGATCTTATATTTTTAAAATAAATTATTAATTTTATTATTTATTAATATATAATTAACTATTATAATTATTTTACGTATAAAAATATAAATTATTTTAATTTATAAAATTTATTTTAATTTTAAATAATTAGAATATGTTATAAATTAATTTAAATTACTCATGTTAAAATTAATTTATTTTAACTTTTTACGATATATTAAAAAGTTTAAAATAATTCATTTTTTAAAAATAAAAAATACTATCGTAAAATCATAACAAATTTATTTAATGTATATTTTTATACTAATTTAAAATATTTAATAAAATATATTTAATATTTCTTAATATATATCTTTAAATAAATGTTTACTTGGGAAAAAAAACTCTTTTAACAGTAAATTTTATCGTATAAAAAAGTTAATCCTAATTTAATAGCTTATTTTAATTTAATAACACTTGTTATATCATGTTGTAATCCATTTAAAAATTAAAAATTTGGATGATTTATATGTTAAAAAACGTTTTTTTATTAAAAAAATCTCTTTTAATAATAACATTTATTGTATCAAAAGTCATTACTAATATAGTAGCTTACTGTAATTTAATAACATTTGTTATGTTAATTTTAATGTATTTAAAAAATAAAAAATTGATGGGTAAGAATGGCACCGACTTAATTAATATAATTTTTAAAAATATTTTTTTAATTAGTATATACAATTATTCTCTATTTAAATTTTTATTATTATGTCATAAGTTATATCAAATCTTCATAAATGATATTATTTAAATAAAATAAATCAATATTGCATTTTTTTAGAACGACACATAGCTCTAATAATGGCACGTCACTTATAAAAAGCAAGTATCTTTATTTTTGGAGTCAAACTACTATCTTCATGTGAAACGTAAAACTTTATAAAATATTAATACGTAATATGAATTTAAAAATATATTTCAGAATTAAATTTTAAAATTAAGATTAGAACGGGTAACAATTTAATTTTAATTGTAGTATTAATTATTAGTAATAAAAAGTTGAAATAAGTTTAATTGATATATTTTTAATAAAATTATAAATTAAATATATAATTTATTGAGTTATTAAAATTATAAGATATTTATTTTTAATTTTATTATTGCTAAAAATCATCTTAAATATTTTTTATATTCATAATTTTAAATATTTTTTAAATTTCATAATCTTAAATTATTTTAAAACATAATTTTATCTGTTTTTAAATTTATAAATTTAAATATTTTTTAAATTCATGTCACGTATTAATAAATATCTCACAAGTAGCTTCACATCACTTGTCATCGCTGGAAGAGTATCATTTTGAAACATACGATACTAATTTAAAAAACTAAAAAATATATAACCATAGAGGTGTGATACACTTAACGTGACAAAAAAAAATATTCTAGAAAAAAAAATTTATAGGAAAAAATTTAAAAACTTATTAATTATTAAAAAAAACCGCTACAAAGGAACTCCGACATAAATTATGAATTTTTTTAATAAAATTAAACATTTTAATGTTTATAAGTTATTTTTATATTTTATTTATATTTATTATATATATATATATATATATATATATATATATATATATATTCAGGCCTATCATGCTATTATCAGGAAATTTTAAAGATAAAATTCTGTGAGATATAATTATTAAGTAAAAAGATAAAGTAAATTATAAACATTTACTTTAGTTATTAGTCTTTGAGATTAACAATTTTTAATCAATTTAAATTTTATAGTTAAAATATTAAAATTAAGTAATAAAATAATAATTTATTACATTAAATCATATATGAAGTTTATTTTAGATATAAAATAGCATTGTTTTAATATCTTTAAAAAATAGTTTATTTTGATTTTTAACTTTTGAGATATTTTTTTATCTATTTTTTAAAATATTTCACAACTTAATAATTTTTTTTGTAAATTAATTTTTTTTTTTCTTTTTGCTATATTAAGGGGTTAAAAGTCTAACAAATTACACAGAAATTTAGGAAATCCTATACCTAATAAATTATGTAAAAGAAAAGAGAGAAGGGGAGTAGAGTCACATCAAAATAACGAACTTGCAAGGACTTATCTAAACCTAACTTAGCTAATATTACCATATTGATTAACCTCCCTACAAATATGCCCTAATTTAATACATTTAATTTGACTCAACAAATTTCTAATATCCTGAATCACCTTAAACATAGGGTGAGATGTCGATTGAATATATTAGATCACCTAATAGCTTGTTTGCAGTCACTTTCAATCCAAACTCATTGGAAACCATTTCTAACAACCAGAGATATTCTATAATATAACTCCCAAAGATCCACTTCAATTGGAGGGCATGAAATAATTTTTCTGCAAAAATCAGCTAACCACTGGCCTGAGCTATCACGAATAAGGCCACCACAAGCAGCTTCTCCATACAATCTAGAAACTGCCCCATCCATGTTCAGCTTCACTTGGCCAAGGGGAGGAGCCATCCATTTGATCTTCGGCTGATCAAGAATCACTTGATGCATATTAATATGAGGGTCCCTATAGCAGGAAATTAAAAAGTTAAAATCACAAAGAATTTTATGAATAAAGCAGTTAGGTTGACTAGAAGTTTTTTGAAAAACAAAAGTGTTCCTATCCATCCATAAATTCCAAACAATGAGTCCAAAATTTTTCCCCCAATCTGAGAAAAGACTATGACTATGATCGGGTAAATTAAAAAACAACCAATCTAAGGTTCCTTTGCTAAAAAAAGGAACCCAATGTTTAGGGACCACAAAATGATCCCAAACTGTCTTGACATAAAAACAGTCCCTAAGGACATGCATAATTGTCTCAAGAGTTTCGCCACATCTAGGACACTATGGAGAGTTTGTCATATTTTGCTTCCACCTTTCCTCATTTGTGAGGAGTTTCTCATGGGCCACTTTCTAGAGAAGAATGTTGATTTAGGAGTCCCATCCCATTTCCAAACCAGCCTAAAAATGTCCTGGTCATACTTGGGAATGTGATTTAGATTGCATAATAGGCTGTAGGTCATCTTAATAGAAAAGGTACCATTGCTGGTCTTATTCCAGTACACTGAATCAGGAACATCAGCTCTGTTAGGGGGATTTATAAGGGCTATGATCTGGCAGATATGATTAGGGAGAATTGTTGACAGCTTCTCCCAATCCCAACTATTATTAGTAGAAAAAAACCAACAGGAAGGTCCAGATCAAGGTCAAGCACAGGAAATTTAGAAAATCTAGCTAATTCTGGACATTGAGGAATCCAGTTATCAAACCAGAACTTGGTAGTTAATCCATTCCCTAAAGTCCAACTTAGACCTTGGTTAAAGATGGGCCAGACAGAGATTAAATCCTTCCACAAATGGGAAACCTGATGAATGTTACAACGACTAGGGTTTTTCCCAATCCTAAACTTATACTTGTTATACAAGACTTTGGCCCACAAAGCATCAAGAGATACAAACAACCTCCACCATATTTTCATAAAATAAGCTTTATTAAGGGTCCTAAGATCCCTAAAGCCAAGACCCCTTTCAATTTTGGGCCTACAAATTTTCTGCCAACTTATAGGATGACTCTTATGTTCCCCTAAAGAACCCCATATAAAATGCTTACAAATGTTGTTAATGTCATTACAAACAAAAGCAGGGATACTAGAAACTTGCATCACATAGGGGGAATACTTAGAAGACTGGTCTGGGCTAAAGTTACCTTCCTAGCTAAAGACAAAGACTTTATTTTCCAAAGGTTCAATTTTTTCTTTATTTTATCAATGAGAAAAGTAAAATGATTTTTATTAGGTCTATTGTGGGTAACTGAGATACCCAAGTACTTGCCCAACTGGTCAGAAGGGTTTATGCCTAAAATTACACTAACATCATGAATCAGATCAGAATTAGTATTTTTTGAAAAAACTAACAAAGATTTAGTTGAATTAATTTTTAGCCCAGAGGCAACACAAAACAAGTCAAGGGTATTCTTGATAATTAAGGCTTGTTGCAGATTAGCTTCAGCAACCAGGATAATGTCATCTACAAAAAATAAATGAGAAATATCAGGCCCTTGATTACTAAAAGAAAAGGGAGTCCAAGTTTTATTTAAATTTTTTTCATTAATCAAGTGGGCAAGTCTCTCAATACAAAGAACAAACAAGTAGGGGGATAAAGGATCTCCTTGGCAGATATCTCGAGAAGGTTTAAAAGACTTAGAAACACTATTATTTCAATTGATAAAGAGAGTGGATGAAGTTATGCAGTAGGGAATAAGGGACACCAGATCAGGATGGAAACCAATTTTTCTAAGGGTGTTAGTGATGAAGTTCCATCTCAACTTATCATAGACTTTTTCTAAGTCTAATTTAATGATCATGAACCCTTTTTTACCTTTCAATCTATGCATGGAATGAGTTAATTCTTGAAGAATCAGGGAATTATCCACTCCCAGTCTATCAGAAATGAAGCTGGACTATTTAGGGAAATTAATATGATTCAAGGACCCTTTGATTCTATTAGCAATTATTTTATTAATAATTTTGTAACTCATTACAAAAAGATATAAGTTTAAAATTCTTAATGTACTCAGGGTTTTCAGATTTAGGAATAAGAGTTATTCCTGTTGTATTAACAGTTGCAATCTTACGAGGGTTATTAAATATATCCTTAACAAAATCAAAAATGAAAAGAGCAAGAAATTAAAAATAAATTTTATTTCTTAAAATTTAGAAAATTAAACAAATTTTTTAAAAAATATTAATTTTAACTTAAAAAAAATATTTATTTAATTGCTTACTTTTTACTATATAAATATTTATAAAAGTTTATCCAGTTAGAACCTTATAGTACTTATTTCCTTTTAATACCATTGTCATTGACTTCTTTCTGTTTGTGCCTACCAGCATGATCTCATCGTGGTGCAAGTTTTCAAATAATCACCTTGCACCATTTTATTATTTGATCAAATAATTAAGATGCATCATCAATGTTCACTTTGATCTTAAGAGACAAAGGAGGTTTTACCCATCTCAAATAAAATTGCTTATAGTGATTTAGACAGAAAATTAATCTTACAGTTATATAAGAAATGGTTAATTTACTTGTATCTTTTATCATGTGTTTTATTTTCATTTGATAGCCTTTTGAAAATCCTAAAATACTATTTAAAAATTTGATTGCTAACTTATTCCCAACGAATATGCTATGTCTTTATGCATTGCCTAAATTCCATAGAATATGCTAACACTTATCAAATTTCCTATCATTTTCTTTAACTAAAATATGGAAAGGAAAATGCAAGAAATGCTTTAATTGTTGTAATTTTTATTATTTATTGTTGTTCTTTGGAGGTGAGAGCTACACATTTGTGATAATTGATGAACCAAATCCAACATTTGTTTGGTAACCCCAAATCGAACGCTGGCCCCTCATTTCATTGTCTGTGCCTACCCCATCTGTGTGAAGGACATTCTTTCGTCATTTTTAAAAATTTAGTGTTCAAACCTTATTAATTCTTATTATTTATATTAAATGTAATTTTAATTTTAAACTTTCATTTTTAACTCAATTTTCATAAATTAATTTGATTAAATTATTTTAAATTTTCATTTACTCAAAACCCACACATTAAAACTTCACTTTTTTAATTTTAAATATTTTGAATTACCTTATATCATAATTTTCTCTAAAAATGTGGATAAAAATAATAATTTGAGAGTTTAACCAGTACATAATCAATGAAAAAAGCAAAATTACTTAATTTTAAGAATAAATATATTTATCTAATCAATTATAAAAATAACACTTCTAATATATATATTTTTTACTCATATGATTCGAGTCTGAGACAATGCTTAAGGAATAATTATACAAAGCATGTAATATTTTTTGAATAAAAAAAGAAAGCGCAGTTTGTAGGATATATTCTGTATTTCTTTTTATTTACTACAAAATGCCTCTTCACAGACACAGAGGAAGCGGCAACGAATTTGGATCCAATTGTTGGTTCTGTTATAATTATCTCTCTCACTGCAATCCCTTCTTCCTCTATTCATAATTCCATTATAGCATTATACTCTATATTGTATTAATTATTATTATTGTATATCCACTTAACAATCTCTGTTCATTCTGTTACAGGTAATTCGCTTCACTCGCTCCTCAATTTCCTTCATCTTTGCTCCCAGTTTCTGCTTTTGTTTTTTATTTTTTATTTTGAATTATGACACTTTTTTTTAAGCTGAAGTTAAGTGTTTTCCATTTCCATCTCGGTATAAACCAACTTTTTAGGTTGTTATTATTTTTAATTTAGTTTCCCAGAAAGAATCTTTATGCTTTTTCGTTGTAGAATGAAACTGTGAGATAGATAGATGTTATTGTCATCATCATCATCATCAGCATTTGAGTTGAAGAGAGGAGAGCTCATGCACTCAAATGCATAGTCATTTATAGTTTATCTTTTTTTATTTGTTTGTTAATTTCTGTTCAGCAATTTACAGCATAGGATATCCACCCAATCTTACCTTTTCTAGTTACAGGATCAATTTGGGGATTGAATATCATGGATCGACTAAAATCTTCTCCACGGCTCATGATTGTTTCGGATCTCGATCACACAATGGTGTGTTTTTGTAGCAGCCCATGTTTTAATCCCTAATTTTATTGGTGTTATTGTTATTATTGTTATTGTTATTGGTTGAGATTTAAATGGGTTTGGTATGGTTTGGTTGCAGGTGGATCACCATGACCCTGAGAATAGTTCCCTTTTCAGGTTCAATGCGCTTTGGGAAGCCCATTACCGCAACGATTCTCTACTGGTGTTCTCAACTGGAAGGTCACCTACACTCTACAAACAATTGAGGAAAGAGAAACCCATGATAACTCCAGATATAGCTATTATGTCTGTGGGGACTGAGATTACTTATGGTAAATCGATGGTGCCTGACGATGGATGGGTTCAGTTTTTGAACCAGAAGTGGGACAAGAAAATTGTCATTGAGGAGACAAGCAAGTTTCCTGAGCTTAAGCCTCAGGTATGATTGTACGTAGATGGTGATCATGATGAATAACTTGATTGATTTCTATGGTTTTCACATTCAGTATTTTGTATTTGATTATGTGATAGTTATTTTGAGGTTGCATCTTAGAATGGTTTGGTTCACATCTCGAATAACTGATAGTGCAGGCAGAAACAGAACAACGACCGCACAAAGTTAGCTTTTATGTTGAGAAAGACAAGGCTAAGAAAGTAACAGAGGCTCTTTCCAAGATTTTGCAAGGGCGTGGGGTAAACTATAACGCTTTTATATTCATTGCTTTCTTCATGTATAATTTGTATGTATCATTTGAGTATAAAATTGGATTTTCTGGCATCTTACTTTGCATGTTTGTTAGTTCCATGACATTGCCTAATTTTTTACCAGTTGGATGTTAAAATAATATATAGCGGAGGAATTGATTTGGATATATTACCAAAAGGTGCTGGCAAAGGTCAAGCTCTTGCTTATCTGCTCAAAAAGTTTGAGACTGAGGGAAAGCCACCTGTTAATACTCTTGTTTGTGGTGACTCTGGAAATGATGCCGAACTGTTCAGCATTCCAGGAGTTTATGGAGTCATGGTTGGTGGTTTAGCATGTTTATTGCTGTATTTTACGTTATTAGTCAAAATATAAGATAGTTTTGCATACTGTATCTGTTTCTGTTCATTGTGTAGGTAAGCAATGCCCAAGAAGAATTGTTGCAATGGCATGCAGAAAATGCAAAAGATAACCCCAAGATTCTTCATGCCTCAGAGCGTTGTGCATCTGGGATCATACAAGCCATAGGTCATTTTAATTTAGGCCCAAACCTGTCCCCAAGAGATGTTTCAGATGTTGGACAAGAACATGTCAAAAATGCATCTCCAGGTCTTGAAGTGGTGAACTTTAGTTTGTTACTTGAAAAGTGGAGACGTGCAGAAATTGAGAACTCTGAGCTGTTTATTGCTGGTATAAAGGCATCCGCAGTACGTCTTATCCTTTATCTTTACAATTACCTATTGTGTTTTAATTTGTGTTTGCAGACTACTGGGCATTTGAAACGTTATCCAAAACAACTCCATTTGATTAAATTTTTTTCTCGCATGTTCTGAATACTCTTCTCCTTTTCGCTGCATTTTTTTTTTCTATACTCACATTTCATGGACTAGCAAGTTCAGAGATTTACAAACAGGAAATATAAAAGCAGAATAGAATGATATTATTAATTTTTTTTATCTTTATCTCAGGAACAATCAATCTTTGGATTGTTTTTACGCTTCTTAGTTTTGTTACATTGTTCAATTTGCTTTGGTATTTTTTACTATTTCCCCTTTTCTGAGTACATGTTGTTGATGAAGAATATCTTATGTTTTAGCATATATTTGTCTTTTAGAATAGCTTCCATCAATGCTAAGTTTTTCTTTTTGTTCCTTTTTATGCACAAACATTAAGTTTTAGCATTAGCAATATGGCCATTCTACATTTTGTTATATATTTCACATTCTTGCTAAACTGTTCAACCATTTCAACAACTTGGAATAAAGACATTCCCTGGTTGATTTCTAGGAAAATCTATTATAAGTTGCTGATGTTTTTTTTCTTTTTACCATCCCACCATAATTATTTGGATTTACCCTTTCTCATTTTCTTGTTTCTTGATCTACACGTGTTTTATTATTCCAGTAAAGCACTTGGACATGACTCTTCATTCTCCAGTTATGCAAGGCTTTCCTTTTTGAGAAGTATCTAAATTGTTCTTTTTTTCAATATGCAGCTTCCATCTGGTGTTTATATCCATCCTTCTGGGTCTGACCATAATATTAGGGAATATGCAAATATTTTTAGAAAGGTGTATGGTGACAAACAGGGAAAACAATTTCGGATGTGGGTGGATGATGTATTGGCTACACAATTAAGTTCAGACACATGGCTTATCAAGTTTGATAAGTGGGAGTCATCTGGTATGAGTTTTTATTACTTTTTGTCGTTTGTGCTCTCCCACCCCTTTATATCTCTCAAAGTAATCAATTAGATATCATGTTTTCATGTTGGTACCACTTTTATGAATAATCTATCTGATGAGACTTGTGGTAGGACATCTGCAAGGAAAGTACAAAATTTTGCTGCCTATCTTACCTTTTTAATTTGCCAACATTGCAGGTGAAGAACGGCGGGGTTGTGTGGTCACTACCATACTAAGCAAAAAGGTTAGTTGTACTTGTAATGCATTGACTGCTTTTCATGGGTTGTTTTTAATTTTTGCTGACATGAATGAAATTTGAGTTTCAGGATTCCGAGTGGTTCACTTTAGTGCATGTGCACCAGACCTGGTTGCAACAACCAGGGCAAGATGAATGGTTACTTTAGTCAGTTCCTACGGCTTATCCAAATTTCAAAGTGTATTATGACCCTTTTTGCAATAAATGTAATGTAATCCAATGACAAACTAATTTCTACATCTGAAATTCTTGAAGACATATCATCCTGTGAAGATGTCTCATATCATATGTATTTGAAATTTACTGTAAATCTGCTGGTTGCATAGCTTTCATGATAATCAAGTTTTAACATCCCAGCTTAAATATAGATAATTTCGATGCCGCATTATGTGTTGGTTTTTATCCTTTTCCCCCTTCCTTTTTGTTTGAAGGGGACTCATAATTTGCTTAATTAATAGAATAAAAAAGATTCATAGTAATTTTCTTCCAACCGAGTTAGAAAAAATGTGTTTCCTGATTTTTTATATTTAATCTTCTGTAAAACGTGACAGAAATTTGCACCTAGTTTATTCTGGCTTTACTTTCTAGTCTATCTTCAATTTGAGCTCCCTAAAGCTTAATACTTTTGATCGAGTGGTTATTTATTCTCCTGCAGAAAATCTTAAATTCAATTGAACAGCCTCTGAGAAATTACGTATCTTATGTTTTTTTTTTTTTTTTTTGGGATGATCAGGATAGAAATATCTGTATACACGCCTAAATCTTCAACCTAAACTTCCTGGGTGTTCCTTCTTTCTCTCAAATTTCTTGACTTAACCAGAAGACATGCATCATTCTCATGCCAAATAACTTGTTACCTTCAGCAACTATTCCAGCACAGTTTGAAATTCTCATTCTATATAAGAAAACAAGTTGTCGAAGTATTTGTTAGTGTCCAGGTAGCCAGCAGCCCCAATGTCCTACACAGAAAACTGCTATAATTCCTATTCCATTGTGGCACCTTGGGAAAATATGTTATTAAACCGTCGTTATTATGGGCCTCTAACTTAGCAGGGATATATTATAACAGAGAAATATTAACTATATATTCTCTGTTATAAGTTAAATTCATCAAAATACATGGAAAAATGTGTCATTATTATGGGCCTCTGAGTTAACAGGGTTATATTATAACAGAGAAATAGCAATATATTATTCATTATTCGTTAAAATTTAATAGTACATTTGAAGTAATGTAGATTTCATTAATTATTTAATAAATCTCATATATAATATTATGTTTTTCAATGAAATTAAGTTTAACAGTAAAGCGTAAATGAAAGAATATATTAGAGAATGTATTCTTACTACTTGCCTAAATGGAGAAATGAATCTTTTTTTATTTGGCTATGACCAATTTTACAACAACAAATTTTCATTCATACATTTGCATATTGAATAACATTTCTTAATAAGAAAAATTCTAGTAACATACTCTTTTAAATACACTATTCAACGCTTCTTTTCTTTTTTGTGATTGGTCAATATTTTAAAATGTCAAAATATCAATAAAATGAGTAATTTATAAGACAAGTGTTTTGATTTTTATTTTTTTTTGATAAAATAGACCAATCATATAAACTATAATCAAAAGAGTATATTACTAGCGTATTTCTTCTCAATAATTTTCCTTGGAAGCTCAATTGTCCTTCCTGTATTGAGTGTTCCATGTTTCTCTCCTGAAGTTCTATCACAATCCTTTAGGCATTTACATGAAATAAAAAGTGTCACCTTGTTAGAATCATGGAGCTAAATGTGTGTTAGAAGAAAGGGATGAATGAAAAAAAGTTTTGTTCCCCTTCTGTTTTAGCTATGGAAGATTCTTAGGCATTTAAATCGTGATACATTATGAAAAAAAATAAAAAATGTCAAAAAATAAAGTTTGAATTGAATTATAATAAATAGATAAAAAATAAAATTCATTAAAAATGTCTTAAAAAAATATAATCTACCATAGTTTATTTAATATAAAACTATTCAACTCATCTTTTTAAATATTTATGTACAACTAATAGACTTTAGATCACTTAAACTAATCAAATATAAAATATATTAAATGGTTCATTATCTATCTAATAATAGATAGTTATTAAAAAATTATTCATTAATTATTATTTATTGTTAAATTAGTTTGTTGGATCTATGTATGAATGAATTAGATATTAGTTGATAAATGGATTGAATTAACGTCTCTAAGAAAAATATTACTAAGTTACTAGGGAACTTATTTTAGAGTATTGCAATGAATTACCCTGTATGACCAGCGTTTATAAAAGAGGAATCAAAATATACTCTCACACAATCTTTTCCTAACACAATTTTCTATTTGATAACTTCAACTTAAGTTTTATTAAATAATTTAGACTGACTCTATTTAATAAGATTCCCAAGAATTTTACTTAATAATGAATTATTAAAAAAATGAAATATAATTATAAAGCTAGCACTTTTTTAATGAAAATATCATCATATCATTTTAAAATCTTTAGAGCAAAACATTCAATTTACTATAAAATTGCACCGTAAAAAATTTTAGATAATGTTTTAAAAGGGTAACTGTATATATTAGTCTCTCAAAATAAAAATGCTGATTAATTCAATCCATAATTTTATAAAAATATTACTTTAATTATTGATTTACAAAATAATAGTTATTTCAGTCATATATATATATATACATATAAATTATTTGACATTAAAATATTTTTATTTGAAATAAATATTAAATTAAAGAATATTTATGATTTTAAAGATTAAAATGAATAATTCCTCTTTTCTTCAGATATCTAGCCAAAAAAGTGTGATATGCTAAATATTTATAAAAAAGGAACAAACATATTGTGATATGCTAAATATTTATAAAAAAGGAACAAACATAGGGCCCAACCGGGTTCGAACCGGTGACCTCTTGATCTGCAGTCAAATGCTCTACCACTGAGCTATGGACCCTGTGATGCTCCTAAAGTTTCCTTTTCATAATATATTGAATAAAGTTTGTAACATTAAAATTATTCCACGCAAAAAAAAAAAGACAGAATAGCATCTTCATCTTCAAAGTATCATAGAAACTACTTTGAATTTAATTGAAAAAGTAATAGTAAACTCTCCTTTAAAATACCACGTTTTATATTAAAATTAAAAGGATTTTAAATTTATTTATAGTAAAAAAAAATGATGGTAGAGAATTATTTAGTAAAAAGAATACCTGTGAAATTTTTTCATTAAAATATAGAGATTTAATATCTTAATTATAAGATATCAACATTAAAAGTGAACATTATCAATACTTATAAAAATTGTGATAGACATTACATACATCATATTACATATTGCAGTGAAGGTTAACCATAACATTGCTACACGCTAGTCTAACATCAGTGTAAGAAAAATCACATAAAAATTTGTCTTTTAATATTAAAATTAACAAAAAGTATTTTAAAACCAAAGTTAAATTTAATCATATTTAACAAAATTAAAAAAATATTTAAGAAAAAATGTTAAATTTATTATAAAACAATTTCTAAAAAAGAGTATTAATTATTAATTTTAGTATGTATATCTTGCATTAAAATGAATTGTTATCAAACGTAAAGTTGTAATTTATATTTAGTAAAAGTAAATAATACAATGCATTAGAATTCTACATTTTTTTCATATGTACACATATTTTTTATATTAAAATTTTAAAATATTATTAAAAACAGATAAAAATAAATAAACAAACATAACAATGTGATAAAAAGAGTTAAATACAAGAGAAAATGTCAAATTTTATAGCACAACAGATTAAAGTGTTTTTGAGCTAAATTACAAGAAATTAAAGTGTAATTTATACCCCTCCAAAAAAAAAATATATTAGTAAGTATTTTTGAAACCTACCTATATTCATAATCTTATATTATTTGCCTATTTATTTTTTTAATGTTTTAAAGTGTAACTATTTCGAAAATAGCGAGACGTTGATAATTTTTTAAGCAATCAATGAAATATTTTTTTTTTCTATTTAAAAATTCCATGCATTCTTTTGCATGGACAAGTTGAAACATGATTATGTGCATATAAACTTTTTCTTGGGTCGACGGGTGATTATTAAATATGTTCATGGATATAAAATTTATAAGGCAGATGTGATCAATATAGATGAGTGGAGTTTCATGCAAATAAATATCTACCTTCTTATACTTTTAATTTTGAAATAAATAGAAAAAATATTAAGAACATCCATGTGCACATATATATTGAAGAGTAAGTTAAAGTAGTATTGGTGTTTTTTAATGCATTACAATAAAATAAGGAGGGCAATAATGTTTTTTTTTATTCATGATAAATTTTAATAAAAAAACTATATATATATATATATATATAACAGTGTTAATGTATTATTAAATAATTTTATTTACACTATAGAAAAAAAAAACCAAAAAAAATCTTAGATTGAAAATTCTAAGAATTTATTCCAGTCTCTATCTAGAAGAATGAACAAATATAAGGAAATTTCTTGACCCTAAAGTCAAAGATTCTTAAAATATCCAATTGTGGTCTTATATGCCTAAAACAAAATAGAAATAAAACTCTCTACACCATTTAAGGCCCTTTTTATTTGTTGTCAATGACTTATTGAATTCTCATGGTTAAAATAGGAAAACAAATTCAACCTTTTCCTTGGGAAAGCCATCCATTTTGTTACCCATCCTATCTATACATAATCAATAACAATCGCAACCTTTCTCATTTACTTTTTTTTCATAATAATTTTCTCGCTTCTAGAAATTTTTCCTTCTCTTTCCTTTCATATTGAGTACATGATTCTAGATTCTTTTTCTGAGACAGTGATATATAAATGCCTACACATAAGGTTAATATGATCCAAACCAAAGTTTGATTGTCCAATAACAAAGAGAAAGAATGATGGGGAGTTCAATGAGAGTTGAATTGATGACTATCTTTGCTGTATCAGGAAGCACGGTCCTTTTGGTTCATCAAGTCCACAAGCATTTGTTCAATAACTTGATTAAGAAATTTGAGTTTGAAATTCGAGGTATCTTAAACTTGAATGATAAAATTTTTTTGGACAGTGTCATTATTTTGATTCAATTCCTTTTACTATGCCTAGATTTGTTATATGTTACATGCTTGAAATTAAAAACACCTAAATCATGTAACTGTTGTGCTTAGAAGGTTCAATGAAACATAAAGCAAAAAAGAAGGTGCGGTTTGCAAAAGACGTGATGGAACTTCCAATGGAGAATAAGAGTGATTGTACAAATGTGACAAAGGCACAGCAGGTCGAGGATGAGAAGGGTGTGGTTATGCATGATAAAAATTGGAAAACTGAGCAAAATTTGAAGGATGTTATGCCTCCTAATAGGGTAGTTCTATATAGGGAGATTATGAAATATAGGAACCTTAAGGGTATGCTTAATTGTTGATTGTTTCTTCCTTGTCAACTTAATTAGCATGTTATGGATTCACTAATTTCAGCCTTGCATGAAAAGATCATTTAGAAAAGAAGTTGGACTCAAACATTAGGTGGGTATCCAAATACTTTTCAAATGTTTTTGAATGATCTTATAATGTAAGATTTTCAAGTGAGAAGGATTTGATGGTGTATTTGGCAAATCATCTTTTTTCTTTTTTAAGTAATCTGGGGCAAGGACCTAATGGATTGAATTGTAATTAAGCATACAATTTTGTATAGTATGAATAAACTAATTTATTTGATTCGGAAGAAGGTTTGAATAATAAATACTCAATACGAAAATCTTTGTATAAAATCAATTAATTTGGTAAAATAAGAGTTTGTAGTTGTGAAGCAAGTTAGATGAAGGTCCTAGACTTTTAGTTGTTTATAAAATTAAATTATTTAACCAAATTTATGTTAAATAACTTAAAAAATATATTATAATATTAATTTAAATAATTTATCTTTAGAATTTATGTTTTAATTTTAAAAGTATTTTTTATATGTTTAATTTATTTTTATCTAACAAAATATGTTATTGATAATAAAAAGATAAAAAAGAAAAAAATTGAATTGCTAAATGACAATAAAATTAATGTAGTATGACTTTAACTGTATAAAAGATAAATTATTTTTTAATTTAAAAAATAAAAATATTAGTAGCTAATATTTAAAAATTAAATACTTCTTTAGATAATTTTTAAAATTTTAACTTTTGAAAATGACAATTTTTTTTTATTTTATATTTATCAACTAGTTGATAAACTATAAATTTCCAAATAAACTATAAAGTATTTTTACCAGATATACCCTAAATAATAGGAAGAACTGAAGCGGTAAAATACTTATAAAAATGACAAAACTCAGATGCTGCTTTTCCAACAAACGGAGAAATTGACTGCAGTTTTCTCTTATTTCCATCAAGTAGTGCTGGATTACAAATCAATATTTAAAATTGCCACATCTTACTAAAGTGAAAATTTAATTTTAATTAAAAAGAAACTATAAAAATAACTAAGAAATTACTTTTAAATTTATATTTTAGTAGTCGTTGATCATTTTTCTAGACTAGTTTTAATTAATAAAAAACACTAACAACACTTATTAAAAAATTAGTACATAAATTTTACTTCAAATTTTCCTAATAACATTTTATCTAAGCGTCATTTCAAATCGATTTTCGCATAAATCAATATTTTGAAGTGCAGTGACGTAACAGTTTGTTCCGATTCGCAAGGACGATCCAGAGAATATTGTAAAGTGGATATGACGTCAGCTAAGTACCTGCAGGTCCATGTCAATCCTTTCAGCATCTCTCTCTCTCTCTCGGACGTTTGGAGATCAATTAATTATATTCAATATTATTTTTGATCAATTTATTTAAATTCAGATAAAATATTCTTGTAAAAAATATAAAAATATCAAAATAAAAGAAATAAATAATTTCATAAAACATAAAAAAATAATATTATATAAATTTTTTGTATAATTTAATTGTAGGAATAAACTTTCTTATTTAAATTAAAAAAAATAGATATCTTATGCATGAATATGATTGACTAAACTTATGTATTGTAGATAATATAAAAAAAAATTTAAGAAATATAAAACTAAATTTTAATATTTATTGATAAATAAATTAATTAAAATTCAAATAGTAAATATATTATGTTTTATATATAAAACCTTAATTATACAGGTTTAAAAAAATATATTTATAATTTTTTCAATGAAACTTTTCTTAAATGTGAAAAAAATGAATAGTTAGTGGGTTAAAAAGATGTGAATCGTGGAAAATAACATCATGCCATAGCATCACGTATTTTCACTTCCTTAAGCATAAACTTACAAATTTTATTTTAATAAATACAATTTTAAATTTATATATACAATAAAAATATATATCTTTTATTAAAAAAAAATATTAATGTAATAAGGCTTCTTGAAGAATTTTGTTTTTGCTATGGTTCTCCAAGAAGCGACTCTCGTGCTTTTAAGAAAGGGTTTAGATGCCGCTAGGGTTCTTGCCTTAGCCACCCAAACATAATCGATTCTGCGAGAAGATAGGCATGAAAGAAAGTGCTCGTTGGAGTGGAGGCTCTTTGGATCTAGGTCCTTACTCTAACAGCCACGAAAGATGGAAAGGAATGAAGGGGAGAAGCGTTCTAAGGAAGAAATTGATTTAATGGGTCAAAGCATAAAGAAGGTGAAAATTGCCTTAGATGCTTTGCTAGAACTGATGGCGGGATGCATGCATGAAGATCTGAGCTATGTAGATCTATCACTATATCATGTGTTCTCTAATCATAGATCTTTTGAATATGTGTCATATAAAGATAAAGTAATAGGAGTAAATGACCTAGATTTATCCTTAATTGATGATGAAATTGTAAAATTGGTGTTAGATGATTTTAATATAACTGTTGAACATGAAGATAATGAGGATCTACATAATACTATTCAAAATTTGTGTCCCGATCTTAGGATTCCTCTAGAGGACTATGAGGGGTGGTGCGCTCCTTAGAGATTTACGCTAATAGTGAAACTCCTTGATAAATCTGTTAGTTTTAGCTACCTTAATCAGAAATTGAGGGGAAAAAATGGTTCCCTGAAAATCTTGGATTTAAACAATGAATTTTTTTTAGTTAAGTTTGAAAACATGGAAGATTATAAGTTGGCCCTATTTGAAAGGCCATGGTTGATCTTGGACCACTATTTTTTAGTTCAGAGGTAGTGATCCCTCTTTAGGACTAAAGACTATCATCTTAAGCGAATTGCAGTCTGGGTTCGTATCCTATATCTGCCTATGGAACTGTATAATAATAAGTTTTTGTGGGAGGTTGGTTCATGTCTAGGGTCTATGTTGAAGGTTGACCCTTATACCTTGCTGCTTTTTAGGAGAAAGTTTGCTAGAATTTGCATTGAAATAGATCTTAAAAAGAAATTAGTTCCTGTTTTTAAAGCTTTAGGTCAGAAATTTAAGGTGAAGTATGAGAGACTACATTTAATTTGTTTTAGTTGTGAAAAATATGGTCATTAACAGGAGAATATTGTGTGGAGTCTGTTAAGACTAGTCAGCTAAGTAGGGAACCTAGGAATAAGATGCATAATAATACTGAAGGGGATGAGGGATCCATAGACAATAGTTCTAATATGGGTAAGGAAAGTAATGGAGGAAACTGCAAACGAAGCAAGAAAGGTGGATGACCATTTTGGTCCTTGGATGCTAGCTAAAAAGAATTTTAAGAAAAAATATAGTTCTTCCTTGGGTAGGGGTTCATTCTAAAAGTAGGAATATAAAGGAAGTCTCATCAGGGTCTAGATTTGATATTTTAGGAACCACACTTATGGAGTTGAACCAAGAAGAAGAGTCTAGTCACTACAATCCTTCAGACTATACCCAGTTTAAGAATTCTTCTGCTAAGGGTTATTTACCTACTAAGCAACCAACTAGGCCTCATACCTCTCTCAAAACTAAGGATCCTACTAAGAAAAAGGTTAAATCTAAACCTAATCCTAAAGTAAGCAATATAGGCAAAAAAGGGATGTATCCTCTACTTGTTTAGAACAACACTATAAGCAAGAAGCAAGTAGCTCTAATTTGTGAATCTAACAAGGAACACCATGCTTCTAATGAACACCTATTAGAAGATCCTTCATAGTAACCAAAAATCTTAAGTCATAGCATCCAGGACCCTATAAGCCTTAAACCTAATATTCTTTGGAAAGAAGAAAAAATTCCTCACTTAGATCTTATTGACAGAGCTCTTGATAGGACTTTAAAATTGGATCTAGACCAATCCATATTCGACCCTTATGGTCATTTTGAAATCGTTTCCTCCTTCACTCACAAGACTATGCTTAGTAAAGCACTTCCAATCTAAATCCATTTCACTCATACCCCTTTTTAATATATTTATGATTACTAAATCCTTCAAACCGGTATCACACTTTATCATATCATTTCATTTAGATATACTCCATAAAATCACATCATAATTACTCAGCAAGTTTAATAATATTTCACATTAAGTGTTCATCGTATAATACATATAAGCATGTTACAACCATTCAATCCAAATAACTAATCAGTTCATGCAATCAAACAAGCATATTTTCATTCATTATTCATACCATAGATATTTCATCCACATATTTTCATGAAATGTCCATATAATAGTGCTCTAATGAGCACAAAATAAATATTAAAATAGAATGATAAAATAGAGCCTTCCTTTCCTCAAAGACGAGTTTACGAAGAGATATTGAAGAAGATTAGAGTTCAAAGATGGAAGTTCTCCTAAATATCAAGAGATATCCGTAAGAAACAAAAAATACAAAAAACGATCAGAGAAAATAAAATTTAATCCAAAGAAACTTACTTGGAATCGTTTAGATTCAACATCCAAGCTTAGATTTGAAGAGTAACCGAAGTTTCTCAGGCTTTTCTCTAGAGAGAAAAAGAGAGAGTTCAGAGAAAATAGTGGAAGAATGTGAGTTTAGAATGAAATAAAATTTTCATGCTGGAAATCTCTTAAATACTCCTTAACCCGCACGCTTTCGCTTGAGCTATGGATATCTCACTTGAGCGAGATATGCAGACAATGGTCTCATCTAACATTTTCTGATAGGCTCGCTTGAGCGAGATGGTGTCCAGAGAGTATGATGTTTTTCCTGTGAGTCCTCACCTAAGCGAGCCATCTCGCTTGAGCGAGATCACTCTCGTCTGGGTAAGGTGACAATTGGCTGGATTTATCTTATCCCGCTTAAGTGAGAACCATCTCGCTTGAGCGAGATAGCCCTGCAACATCATATTTCTGAACGCTCAGTCTTGCCTAAGTGAGATTTGCCTCGCCTGAGTGAGACCCCATGCACCAGAATTCCTCTAAAAATCCTCCATACTCTCTTTTAAATGCATTCTAATACTACTTAATATTAAACAAAACATAATTTACCGAACAATGAAAA